CATCTTGATTTATGCACGAAAGTTTAAGTACCGCGACGATCCTCTTTTTCCCGGTCGTGACTGCCCATAGATTATCATCGGAAATCTCGGCGAGGTCTACGAGATCCCTCATAAGAAGGGAGTGTTCTCCTCGACCCTCGACAAATTGAATGAAATCGCTCCAACCTGTTTCATCACGGGGGCCCGCGATCCGACGAATTCGACCACCCGTAATTATCGTGACGTAGGTCCGGGACTTTGTAGTGTCGACGCGCGGCGAGGATATAATTTAAGACTCTGACACCAGCACTTTCTCCTAAAATTTTAATATCGGCGTTTTACGTTGTCTCATCTCGCATGCACCGTCGTCTTCGCGACAGATAAGATATTTAGGAAATTAGTTGAAGGCAGGTAAAAAAAGGAGGAAAAGATGTCATGTATATATATTACATGTAGGGCTAACTCTGAATATTTTATTATTAATTTGTTAAAATCTCTCGCATGTTATTCTATTTTTTTTTTTTAATGTGACTGATTTAATTTAATGATTTAATGATTTAATTAATCTTACACGGAGAAATTTTTTGTTATATTTTATCGCAAAATTCACTACAAATTTTATCATATTTGGTAATAAATCGAAAATTATTATGCTGCATGTTGAAATTATCATAAACGTGTAACAATAAGATAAATTGCAAATATTATGCTACATTGTAAAATTTTTATAAAATATTTTATATGTTTATCACTTTTTGACATCTATTCTATTTGAAACACTTAAAGATATAAGATATTAATATAGTTTGTAATATATCTGTAAAATTATTGAAATTTTACTATATATTTTAGTAAAATTAATCAAACATGTGTTATATCTTATTGTGGTACATATTAATGTTTTATTGTGGTAAATATTAATCAGAGAAACTCTTATAATATTCCAATAATATATTGTCTCGCGATTACTATAAATTTCAGGATAAATTTTAAGAAAAAATTTTCTCTGTGTATACATATATAAATATCTAGAAAAAATGTTCCGATAAAAAATAATTACAAACAAATATAACTATAAAAATGAGAAAGTGCTGGATTTAGCGAATCCGCGAGTTTTGTTTTGATGCCAGATTTGCATCCGCGCTAATGGAATCCCATCTTCATCGGGAGATTCCAGGCGTCTCTCGATGCGCCATGCTTTAAATTATGGAAGCGAAGAAACGTAGAGGATGCATAAATGTGTACGTATGTATGGGACGATTATGCCGAATGGGCATGAGGCGAGAAAATGCTTGCATGGTTTTCGTTACGATACTTCGACGAGAACCAGACGCGCATTTTCTAGGCTCGCATTCTCCAGGCCTATTTATTCTTTATCGTAGGGGAACGAGAGAGCTGTCAGTAACACGTCGTGAAATATATTCCGTTTTTCTCTCTCTCTCTCGAGTCTTTTTGTCGATTTACGACAATCGCGAATTTAGAAAAAGAAAAAGAAAATATTTATCGTGTGGTGCAATATTTTAGTTTATGAACTAGTTTGCGATCATTTGTAAGCAGCTCTTAAGATTGAATTGGCACGATTGTCTCTAGAGGTATTTCGCAATGGGCATCAGAATAAATGGAATGTTTTATAAACTGTCACGACGTAACTTGTAAAATAAACTCAGAGTGCCTATTTATTTAACTCGATGGCGCAAAAATATTTTACACGATTGCTCAGATATTATTTTTGTATCAGAGTTATGTATATATATTCAGATTTGTTCCTTGAAATTACATTCCGTCCAATTTCGTGTTTTCTGTAAGCACGGCGCGTCAATTTTTCTCATTTGCGCGATCAGAAATCCACGTGAATCTCATCAAAACATTGTAGAATGTTAACCCTCGAGAGACTCGCCGGATGAGATAATTTTCCTCGGGCTTGGAGATGCACACGTGGATCGAGGAATTTCACGATCATTTTGCTTGATCCGATTTGACGCGTCGAGAGAAAATAAATATTTACGATGTTAGGGTAGCCTTACGAGAGATTCCTTATAAACCGGTCTCGCCCAAGAAAATCTTACAAGCTGTCTTCCAAACCGATCGCGAATCATTTCCCGGAAGGTTTTCAAGAAGTAACAGGATGCCCTTGAATTCTTCCTAGAATGAAGACATATAAACGTTGCGTAACAGTAAATCAATAAATGTATGCAACATTATTAATACTTGCAACATTTTATCACTCATTAAATCGGGTCATTAAATTTTAATGCTGCCCTTTCGCTCTCTTGTAAAATACTACGATCGCAAACATTCGAGAGAATATTTGCCACTGTTTTTGATTCGGTATATACATACGTAGCTATACGCAGAAACATATCCAGATACTCAGATGATGAAATTTACAAGGTAACGACCTATTAATCGTCGGCCTTAAACAGAATATTATATCTCATTGCTGTTGGAGAAAACGAGAGTCGATTTACTCAGTATATGCGTATATCGCGAGGCTAATATTCTCGAATATATAATACTGATGGGCGGCATTTATAAACGCGAAAAATACCAACGCAAACGACGTCTTCCTCCTTTTATCGAGTACTAAATTCGATGTAATAATCAAATGTGTATATGCCACATGAACACTTTCAATGTTGCCGTTTTTGTCGTGATAAGAAAAGAGAGAGAGAGCGGGACATTCCTTCAATTCGTTATTGCCATCAAAATTCGCAGGGATCCTCGATTTTAAGCGCGCGATCGTAAAACAGCTAATAGCGTGACTAGAGTGATACAGAACACTTTCGTGCGTTCATCGGACATTCAATTCCAGGAAGACGTTCTCGCCTAATAAATTAAGATTGTCGTGAGAATGATTATTAGTTACGTATATGCATTACTGAGAATCGCACTCATTTCCGACTCTATTACAACGCTATACGTCCTACGTGATTGTTTATTTTTGAACCAATCTAAAGCTCTTCAGGTTATAGGTTTATACGATGACATCAAAGTATTCGAACGCTTTGCTCGAAATTCGCGACCCACGCGCATTTAAAATCGGCAAATTATTTGCGCGACGTTGCACCGAAATATGAAATTGCTCTAATTTTAGCGACTCGTATTTCCGATTATCGCGATTTATTTTCGAATGTCGGTGAGCAAAATACTCGCAAATGAATCGAAATGATACTTTTTGGCGAAAGCCGAACATTTATATTCTCACATATAGGTATATAAAAATATCACATATATATAAATAAATCGATAAATATAACTCAATATAAGATAATTTAGGGGCATTTATATTAAACATAAAATAGTAATTTTGAATTAATTGGTTATAATTATTTTTATGTTTCAAACTTGTCTCTCTTTTCTCTGAAAAAATATATATAAAGATAAACTTGCATGATATTTTTCAAAATAAATTCATTATTTTTTTTACAATAAAAAAGACTTGGACATTCTTAAAGAAAATTCACATTTTATGCAATATTGAAATAAAATACTTTGAAAAATATATCTCTTGAAAAATAAATACTATTATATATGAATAAAAGAGCTATCCTATAAACACAAATTTTTTTACACATATGTTCAATTTTTTTTCGCATCAAAATATTCCTAAATTATTATTTTATTATTAGCCACTTCTGTATTAGTTACTTTTATTGTATGCTATTTACAGCTGTATCAGAAAACTGCTGGCTCTCATACTACGACAATATGGTTCCCAGATTTTCAGTCACAAACTACCTGATTATTTCCATAATGTAGCTTTTAAAGTTGAAAAAAAATATGGCACTAGTTTTGCGTATCCCAATGTCGTCTCTTCTTACCGAGCCTTTTTCTGGTCTGTCTCGGATACTCGAGAAGAATCTCAGGCAATCATCTGAGAGAGATGAAAGCGTAGATGTAATTCGACGATGGCGAGGCGTATTTTTCTTTTTCATCGACGCAACAGGTGACGCGTATACGATCTTCAGGGATCTCCGAACTCCAAGAACTCGTGAGAGCCTCCGAGACTCCCTGAGGGAAGGTCGGATATTAATCGTCGCTCGCTAGATTAGTTATTTCTTTTTGCCTTTCCTTCGGGGTTTTCTACAGGGTGTATCCTTCTTTCGTGAACCTTCAAACGGAAAGATGTGTCCGCGCGATCGTTAAAGCGTTTCAAAGAAAACAATCCGTCGAAAATCTCACCCTCACCCTCGGCTGCTTTTCGAGCGGTCGTTAACGGCGTCACGGGAAAACAAATGGACGCAACATGTTTTCTAAATATACTGATTCTTCATCGTTGATTTCTTCCCTCGGCTCGCCAAAACTTCACCCCGAAGGTTGATAAATAGATCCGCGATTCGTTCGATACAGCCCTGATGCGGCGTGGATTTACGACGACGGTGATTTTCGAGAGAGTCACATTTAAAAGGGGGCCTCCCTGGACGGGAAGCAGCACGTGCGTAAAAGTTTGGCTCGAAGCTCTCAGGGCCGTATTTCAACCCGATCACCAAGTCTAAAACCGACGTTGGTCGGCGTGTCGTGTCCTCGGCGAGTGCATCGCGTTTTCGTGCTTTGGACGTCGGCCAGCATCGGGAGACGCTTCTCGCGAAATAGAGAAAAGAAAATAGAAAAATACGACGAGGTCGGGCGATCGAAGAAAAGCGAGGAACGTGGAAGGAAATGAGCATTTTGCTCCTCTATTATTAATAACGTAAGACGTAAAATTGCGAGCCTGCGCTTTTAAATACCTGCTCGGGTTTTATATATCACGTGTTTCGCATTTATTTGCACGATAATATTCTTATATATTTGTATATGTATTTTTTTTTCTTTATAAGCTATTGTTTGTACTAGAGGGACTTTTCCCGTTTACATGAATAAATAAATAAATAAATAATAATTTTGTTGAATAGAAATCGTTTCCGTTGTTTGCTGAAGAGCCGTGTTGAAAGAGCGAGAATTTTGCCTTCGCCGTGTTACTTTATCCCAGCAAACTACGAGGAGGGGAAAAATAAACCAACTTTTTACGGTTTCTGTTTCAGGAAATCATCCATGCCGCGATTACATTAACTGTACATGCCTGGTGTCTAACGAATCAAAATGGCTACGAGGATCTATCTTATCTTTGGAATTCTCGTTATCTTGAACATCGGATTTTCGCAAGGACGACTTATTCGACTAGGTAAGAAAGTACATTTTATTCTCTCTCGTAACACTTTTTAGAAATATTTTACAAATATTTTCCTAGAAAAATCGTATAATTTTTATTATTTATTTAACGACGATGCCGATATTTTTCGAACACACTCGCGCACTCTTTGTACAAATAAAATGTAACAAATCATAGATCACAAACGATGACTTCATAAGTGATTCAGAAATAAATACGCAGAATGCGCGATTATTAATGCTTTCGAGTTGACTTATATATTTCAAAGTCTTCCATAGTTCAAAGAAACAATCTTGTGACGTTTTCTAGGAATATATTTATAAAGGAAATTAAATGCGAAACTTCACAAACATTGTTTAGAAGTCGTGCAATCGTATCGCACGATTTTATCATCGCTTTGTCATAATTTATTTGTTCCTCGGACACGATAAAGTCCCATATCGTTCCGCAGTGAGTAAAAGTCGCGGGTAAAATTAAACGAGTGAATGCCACGAGACGCCTGGTACGCGGTCTTTGCGAGCCGAAGATTTGTAAAGGAAGTCTGCAACGTCATCCGGCGCCGTTTCGCGATATTTTCGTATTGAAAAAGGAATAAGCGCGATGGGAAAAATAGCGCGAGGTGGAAGCCCGAGTTCGAGTAGGAAGCTAGTAAAGGCGAAAGCCGGAAGTATATAAGTGAAAGAGAAATATAGATGAGTTTCACGAAATTCCAAAGAAATCGATTAATCATAGAATTTACATTATTTTTGGATCGCGAGGGAGAATTTCGTCTACATGTTGATTCAAAGAAAACAATTGAGAAAACTGTTGCTTTCCTGTGATATACATTCCAAACATATATTACGTGCCAATAAAATTTTCAATTTTGTTTTTATGACATTAAAGTCGTCGACCCGGTTTGACGTTTCGAGGGACGTTAGCGACACGGAAGAAAAGTAGTAACGTACGCGGAGGTATTTTGTGAAATCTATACCTAGAAACGCACATGGGCTTCATCACTTTCGCGTGCCCACTCGATCCTTGGTTTATTTAAAACTCAATCACGTTCCTCCGTCCAAGCTTCGTAGATATACGATTTAATTATCGGCGCTTCCATTATTGAGAAATTTCCTATCACGCGCGTCGAGAAGTCATAAGTTTATGCGTCTTGAAATCGTTAGTTAAATTGGAGCCGACTCGCAGCACTTTGTTGCAGTCACAATATTCGAGGGAAACGTGACGGAGTACGATTACACGGAGCCACGATCGCCAAAACTCGGGCGCGTTCTCGGAAACCGCGACGAAGAAATATTGTACACACGGCAATTAATTTGCGCGAGCGATAATTATATCCCGAGTGAACACAAATGTCAACAGAGCGTGCGTTGCACGCGATGAGCCGCGTAGAGAGATCGTTCATCACCGATTCCCACTTCGATTCTAGCAATTTTGCGCCTCCTCGACTTACGATCCTCAAATATTTGACTCGTCGATGAACCATTACGTAATTATTGCAGCACGTTCAACGGACGACGAGAGAAAGAAAGAGAGAGAGAGAGAGGAACAGCGCTTGTTTATTGTTCCAAACAATGGAAATATCGATTTCTACGAAACGAGAAGTCGATATACCGCTGGTCAAAGGTGGAAAGGCGCGGTCGAAAATTTGGAGCGTCACATCTGGCGAACAGACGTGGCTTTGTATCCTGCGTCGTCGTTTTCACTATATATTCCGTAGTTGGTGCGTGCTCGAAAGTAGAGATTTCTTTGGAATTTCAGCGCAACTAGCACGGGACCACGTGCGAATGAACTCCCGCTCTTTCTTTTTCTCTTTCTTCCACCGCGGAGTCTAAATATCTGGACGGGGGATTCATAATATTGTCGCGGTTCCCCGAGATGATTGATTTCCAATCCGATACACTCGTATCGTAGAGACGCAGAATTGATACTTTGGTAAATAAATAAACGTCGCGCGCGGTAAACCACAGCGAAACACGGTCTCTGGTACGATATGCGTATGAGCGTTATTATGATTGGGCTCAATTGTCCAATTGCCCGGTCATTGAATGCCGAGTCGGGCTCTGCGGTGCCGCTATTACCGAATCGCCAACAACGATATTCTCCCGACGCGACATGACGCGGCGACGAAACGCCATTTTCTCGGGCTAAATTCAGTGAACGGACGAAGCGAGGGCGAAGAAGGGAATATATAGCCACGTCGTCGTCGTCGTCGTCGTCGACGTCGTCGCGAGAGCGCGCGATGAGAGCCACTGCCAATCTTTTGTCTATTAAATGTATTCAACAGCGTAATAGCGGCTGATATTATCAATTGGACAATGAAAGAGATGGCAGCGGAGCGCGATTTACGGAGAGACCGCGGGGGTGGAAGAGGGAGAGGGTGAAATGGCGGATTGGGGGAGGCGGAGATGGAGATTTCGCCAAGAGAGATCCGAGACTGACGGGTCAGACCTGTCAGTCGATCGAGCGTCACTGCGCTTTTCCTGGACTGATGCCCGCATATCCCGTCTATCTCGCTCGTCTCGAAGATTCAAATCGTCGGAGAGCAGAGCGAATCGGAGGGCCTGATATGCGGAAGTACGATTATACAAACTTGAAAGGATGCCTGAAAAATGGGCTTGGCTCGTTAAGATAGCGAACGCTCTTTCTCAAGACGTTTCTTCATCTCCCGAGAGTCGGACGATTCGTTTTAAGGTATATATAATTATGCGGATGTGTGTATACATATATGTATCAAGTCATCAGACCCGTCAAGAATCTCGACGTTTCTATCTGCCCTCTCTCGGTTCGTAAATCTTCCCGTCTTCTTTATCCCACGTGTTCGCTCCATTAAAAAGCGGGAGGGTTTCCAGGACGAAACGGAATCTTAATTAGATCATCGAGCCAATTTCGTCGGCCTGTCTCTCTATTCCAGATGATAGGTCCGGCATGCTTTATTATCGCGATAATGCGAATGGACGATGCGTTAAAACTTCTCGATATTCCGCGCGAGTCCTCGCCAACTTTTTACCCGACAATCTGGATTCGTTGCGCACACATTTGATCGAAACAAAACATTTTCCGAGAAATTGATCGAACACTTTAGCCGTGAAAACACGTGCCGGTAATAAAACAAGGTAATTAAATCGCGTTAGCTGCCGCGAAGTGACATCGCTAAACTGGTCGGCGATAAAGAAACATCGTCAGCCGTCGCGAGATGCGTTTCAATCGAGAAACTTTGGACGCGCCGACAGGTTTCCGCGAAGAAACGTCGTCGCGCGTTTATCCGGATAGGTGAACGTTCCATGAAAAAAGAAGACTGGTGTTTGACAGGGAGGGAAAAGAAGGGTCGGTCGGCTTTCGAAGGGAGCACAAGAGACTTATCGAGACTTGTCTCGAGTTTCTCCTTTTTGTCGAATCATCATCTCGCGTTAGATCGACCGCTACATCGGCACGAAGAAAGAGATCTCTCTTCCTTCTCTCCCTCGCTCTTTTTCTCGTCGACGGATGAATATGCTAAAAGTTGGACGCGTGGGACGATCGTAATCCGACACCGCGAGAGACTCTTTCGAGGTCGCTCTTTCGAAGAGCTTCCCCGGGATGTGTCCGATTTTTCTACGTTTTTTCGTTCTTCAAAAAAAATATACTAGTTTTGTTTACAAAGCGAGAATTGGTTCGACTGTATGATGCGAAATGGCGATCTGTGATTTCTGTCAACATTCGAGAGCTGTTTCTCTTACAGGCTAATCACGCAGGAATGTGACTCACCTGATCCGCCAATTTTCGATTTGTTTGTTTTCGCACTGTATTTTTTTTTCATGGATTTGTTTATTGTCTTGAAAATTCGCGAAAAAAATCACGAACCAAATATTTATCTAACTCTTCGCGAAAAGTTGTGGAGAGAGCCTCTATTCGTGAAGTCTTTCCTGATATATAATTTCTTGCATATTCGATTTTGTTGCATCGACTCGACGCTTTTCATGATTGTTTCCGTGAAAACGGTAGAAAGCAAGGAGCAATTAAAGGAATGTAAATCACGCTGTATCTCCTTGCGGATCAACGTTTTACCGTCTCGACGAACCTCCTGGCTATTTCGGGCGAAGCGAGAGATCTGGTTCCATTTGAGGCGAGTGCACGAGCGATGTAAAACGATTCGTTCCGTAGAATAACAACCGAGCACTCGTTTCACTGTCTCGATTTTCTGGAAGCATTTTAACGAAACCGCCTCGCGTTGTAATCTCATTATATCCAACTCGAGAGACTCGGTTCGGCAAAAACATTGAGTGCGGAACGTCTGGTCGCCAAGATAATACACTAGACCGAGTACAGAGGTTGCTTTTGACTTTCCAATTTGCGGCGCGAGGATGAAAATTTAGGCTGAAATCGTGGCGAAAATCGTAGTCGGTCATGTGAAAATATTTCTGGCACGACACTCGTCGTCGTGCTGGTTCCCGACCCCAATCTCGTCTCGTCTCTTTCAACGAGGCAGTCATATATCTCGTTTAGAGTGCATTCCTCGAACGTCTTGTCTGAAATGGAAAGAATGCAGAAAGTCGCGTAGAGTACGGCTTCGACAGTGTTCGAAGGTACGCAGATCTGGGTACCGGTTTGATTATCTCCTCGAATCTCTCTCTCTCTTGTGTTGAAGGCGCGTATAAGATAACTCGTGCAACGTAACGCAGCGAACGCTTTGAACGTGTCGTGTCCGATAACTCCGGCTGGTTTCACGCTCGCTGACGGTTGAATTACGTATATGTATGCGCCGGCAAAATACTATTTACTCTGTGTATTCGCGCGATTTTATATGCGGCGGTTATTTATGAAGCTGTCCGGCGCTCGAAGAGAACCGGTCGGATTTCCGCGCCTTCCGTTTGCGCGGAAACTTTGATAGCGATTTACGAGCGGCACGTGCTCGCGGCGAGACGCGTTTCTCGTTGAGATCACCCCTTTAAGAAAACGTGTACTGTACGTTGAGTGAGCTCTGAGCTCTGTTATTGAAAGATTATACGTCGCGCGCGAAGACGCGAAGCGCGCTCGGAGAAATTAAAAGGGACGAAACGAGGGATAGAGACACGCGATCGTTACGAACTATCGGTTATCCACAGCCAGAACGAGATAAACTATATACGTCAATTTTAGACAGGGTGCCTAGGGTAAAAATGCGAGCGTTTCGAGCGCGACACGAATAAATAAACGGCCGCTGACGTTGACAAACCAGGGCTTTCCGTCGACGTTAATGACTAATGGATTCTGTACGCGAGGCGCGAATTCGATATCAAAATTACACGGAGAATTTTCTCTTAGAATTTACCCTAAAAATCATAGTAACCGTGGGACAATATATATGGTATTGAAAGAATTTTATTCCGGATTCTAAGAGATTTCAGGATTCTATAAGAGAAAATTTTCTCTATGTAAAATTAAATGAAATTAAAGTAGGAGGCTGTAATATAAAATATTTAGAAATTAAATGGGAACGGACTAATTAAGAGTCAAACGCTAAACAGTGCGCGAATTTTCTACTTTCTTGTTAAAAATTATTTACTTTGAATCCCCGTTTTGATCCCGATTTCGGGGCCATTCTTTTAATCACTCCATTATATTAGTTATTTTATTTGTCAAGATATAAAAATAAATTATTTTGAATTATTTTTCCGACATACTTTTTTATATATAACTTCATAAAATAAATCTTATTTAAAATTAAACACTTCTCTGGTTGGTTGGAGAAATTAATTTATTCTCTTCTCGATGCTGCAAATAATCTTTATTTACCCTCCTGGCAGTAATATTTCAGTGACGCAGCAAAACAAGAACAAGCAAAACAAGATTCTCACCGAAGAATTTGTTTGGAAGAATCACGCGCGAGCGTTGTATTTTTTTCAAGGAATTCTCTTTTATACAGCGTATATAAAATACCTGTTTGCGTTTTTTGCACGCGAGAAATCTGTACAAACATCTGCGAACGTGGAGCTCGCGACCGAAAGCTCGCGGACGAGAGATCGTCGAAGGCAAAACGGGAGAGAGAACAAAACACCGGCAGAAGTGGCATCTCTCGAAACGTTTAAGGCTATTCCTGGCGTCTGGTCCGAGGCAGATGGCCCGAACGTGAACTGCTACCGGAGAGAAATCGATCTCTGATTTTAGGTAGCGATCGAATCTCTCGTATCTGGCATCCAGATCCGGGAGCTCTGCTTCCACGATTCGATTTTCACGCGAGCGATAGAAAAATATACAAACGGGGAATTGCGTAGAAATCTTATTTTAAAACCGACCGAATAAATCCGCTTGAATTTTATCAAAACTGAATTTGTTTTTAAAAAATCGCAAAGATGGTATCTCGTCGGATCGAGAGATACAGACATTCGTGTCGAAATTTTCTGCATCGAGTCGCAGTCGTCGATCCGAGCCACGTGCCTCGCATCTGTTACTGTCTCCCGAAAAAGAGCGTCGCGACGACGAGCGACAATAAACTCGATCATCGATTTCCGTCGAGGGCTCTCGCGAGGCACAACGACTCGTTTGTACGCGGAGGATGTTTAAAGATCCGCGAGAAGAAAGCTCGGAATCTGAATGAAAGTCTCCTCCCTTTCTCGCGCGTCTCAAAAGCAGCTCGCAGGAAGTGTATCTGTCAAATAGAAGAAAAAAGAAGAGAGGGAATAGCTCGAGTGTTATTATAGAATAAAAATAAATTTCTATTAATTATATATACTTAAACAAACTTGGGCTGTTTATCAACTAAAATGTCGGGAATCATTCTTGGAGTTATGGAGCGCGACACTCTCGTGAAGACGAAGTCCAGATGAAGACGCGCTTCGTAGTAGATACTATTAGTGGTCGTAATCGTAGGGCGATTCACACACGAGGAGGGAGCGTCGACGAGAGGTCGCGGGGGATGATGGCTTTCTAAATTTAGTGCGCGACGCATTCTGGGGACGCGAAGAGGCAAAAAGACTCCAGATGGAACGTCGGAAGGGACAGTGTGTCGCGATTCATTTCTGGCTGTCTGCCAAATGGCGATACTCCGGCCGGTCAGCCTCATGAATGAGCCGCCCAGGAAAACGAGTTTCCTTGATCAAACTGATGAGACGGAATATCACGGTAGTAGACTCGAGCCGAGCCAAGCCTCGTCTCGGCGGCGCAAATACGCTTCTCTCCGACTTCCGCAAGCTCTCGCGGCGGCGATTATTATAGATCGTCGCGTCTCGCCGGCGCGAATCGATACGAAAAGCTTAACGTTTGCCGTTGATTTAGAGAGAGAGAGAACTGACAACTAAATTTAAATTTATTTTATTCATCTCTCGCGAGCAATTTCGCATTTGTTTCCGAGAAATTATGTTACTTCTCGCCACAAGCACTTTATGCCTTCCATAGAGGAAGCAAGGATCACTCGGCATCAATGACGATCGTACCGGATCGGTATAGAATTATGATTCCAGGCGGAAATTGCGCGTTTTGCCTCGCGGAAACCGTGTCCGAAGAAAGGCAGAGCAATCCGTGACGGAATAAAAACGCGCGCGTTTTCTTCGCCTTCGTTATTATAGCGTCATCATATTGCGCGCAACATACCCAAAGGATAGATTGAACGCCATCATCGGTATATTCGCATAATATAGTATGCATATTATTTACGTTGCAGATGCAATTAATTCCGATGTTGCGATACCCGTGGGCGAGAAGCTTTTGCTGCGTTGCCAGCGAAATCCCGGGTCCAGATAGAATGGTACAAGGACGACGAAGCGTTGCGGTTTACCGCGAGGATACGCATGATGAGGCAGTCTGTGAAGTTTAAATATGTCGACGTGAACGACTCAGGCGTCTACGGTTGTAGGCTAGAGTCGAACGAGACCGTCGAGTGGAGAAACGTGACCGTTCGCATCGAGCCTCTTCAGAACGACGACGGTTTTCAGAACGAGGCCGAGGAAACTAGCGGTGTGATGAGTGTGCTCAGACCGGAAGAAGAGAGCAACGATCTCGAGATGGAAACCAGAAGTAAGTTTATCCGCTTATTGTAAATGTTAAATATATGACAAAATTATATATAATGCATTAGTATTCTTTTATTAGTTATTTCATGTTTTCTATACATATTTTATTCGTCCCTGTAACTTACATGTGATTTTTCTCCGCAGACTTGCCTGAAACGCGATCGTTACACCTGGACAGCGAGAAGATGGACGCGGATCAGGACGAGAAGGGCGAAAGTGACACGGAGGGCGAGCACAACAACACGGTACCGGAGAGCCCGCCCGTGTTCAACAAGACCGACGAGATGCACGCGTCGGTGGTGAAGCCCGCCGGCAGTACGATGCGATTGAGATGTCCGAGCACGGGCAATCCCAGGCCAAACATCACGTGGTTGAAGAACAACGAGGAACCCAGGCGGGACTTGGGCACCGCGATCAGAACCAAGTGGACTTTGAGGCTGGAGGATCTCGTTACCAAGGACAGCGGGAATTACACGTGCATCGTATGCAATCATCTCGGATGCATCAACCATACCTTCAAAGTCGATATAATCGGTGAGTCTGAGAGATGCCTATATCCTTTAATCCTCTCTGCTTTCTATGCCGCGAGGCGCAGGCGAGCTTGCCCGCAACGCGATCATGAACCTTTATTATGTAAACGCTCGACTCGAACGCTGAGAATCTGCTAACGATACCGCAGAGCGTTTCCCGCATAAGCCGTACATCAACGAGGACTTTCCGAAGAACGTGACCGCTCTGGTCAACAGTACTGTGACCTTCAGGTGTCCCATCGTTTCCGATCTAGAACCGTATATACAATGGGTTAAGGTCGCCGAGTATCCGGGTGATCAAGAGGACACGCCTAAAGGGACTCTGCTCCAGGTACAGCCGCCATTTAACGCGGTGATGGTGGAGGGTCCTGGTCTTCTGTATCGCGTCTTATTTTTTCTCCGAGACTTTATTTCATCGACGTAATAGTATATTGTCGTGCTAACTGCCAGTGGTGTAGGGTCAATTAATTACCTGTTCTTTGAAAAACTCTGGAGGATTAGAAAATGTTTCCAGATCTGATGCGAAGAAAACTTTCCGTTTTAATTGTAAAGAATGAAACTTTAGGTGAAAACTAGGTGTCTAGGAAAAATCTTTTTTATTATAGTTACAAGGGTCTACAGGTTTATGGGTCTTTATATTTCTTTACTGTCATATGTATATTTTATACATATAAAGCTAAAAGAAAAATTTAATGTATTTAAAATACAAAATTAATAATTTACTTTAAACAGGGTTGTGGTTTACAAATATTTGTCTACTCTTTTCTACACTATTTTCTACATTAATTACTTTACACGTTCTATTATTCTCTCTATATATGTATATATGCAAAAAAAATCAAGGTAAATTTAAACGCATACAGCTGAATGTCTCTATATGTATATTTTTTTCGTCTTTCCTTACGTGTACGTCTAACTCGTTTTAAACATTGGTTAAAACGGTGGTTGGGTTTCTTTTTCTCTATAGAGACAGTCATGCATCGACCGATCTTGACGAGGGCGCCACGAAATAGCACAGTGCTTATTGGAGGCAACGCTAGTATGAACTGCCAGGTGCTCTCCGGTGCTCATCGTCATCTCGAATGGTATCATGGTTACCATACTTCTCTCGACACCCTCAACATGACCAATCAGAGCTTGCGGGTGGAGGTCAAGGTGGGCGCAAGCTTGCATGCAAATTTTCTATCGCTTTCTCTCGATTCTCGCTTTCAATCGCTTCCAATTTTTATAACTGTATATATATGGCTCGGTGCTTTTCTAATGTTCACTAAAGAAAACATTTATGAATTTATGTTAAACATATGTGCAAATATGTTATGTGTGTAAACATTGTTGCACGTTCTGGTTTAAAAAGCGATATTAATAGCGAAATTTTGTTCGACGTAGGCTGGAATGGAGACGCCGAATCCTGAGGAATTAAAATTTTACAACGTCACTGAGAAAGATGAGGGATGGTACACGTGTATCGCCCAAAACACTTTAGGGGAAACGTTTAGTAGCGCTTACCTACGTGTCGTCGAAAGTGAGTAATCGAATTTGGTTTCAAGATTATTTAAATACTTACATTTAGATGATAAATTACAATGATCTTATATCTTTAAATTTATATTACAATGATCTTGTAAAACTTACTTAGCGCTGGATGAGCAAAGAGTACCGTTAACTGCGAGGCCGCAGATCCTTGTGAACGTTCTGGCGGCTATTCTGTGCTTGTTCTTCGCCGTGGGAGTCGTTGTGGTGATATACATCTTTCATCGATTGAAACGCGAGAAGATGAAGAAGCTGCTCGCGATAGAAACAGCGCGCGCGGCAGTCGTGACGCAGTGGACGAAGAAGGTGATCGTGGAGAAACAGAAATTGGTGAATGCGCAGAATGCGATCGAGGAGGAGTTGCTGATGCCGGTGGTGAAGATCGAGAAGCAAAAGTCCACCGTCATCGCCGAGGACAACAACAGCGACAACGTGTCCGAGTACGAGCTACCTTTGGACAGCGCATGGGAATTGTCGAGAGAGTACTTCACGCTGGGGAACACTCTCGGCGAAGGAGCCTTTGGCAAGGTCGTCAGAGCCGAGACAAATACCGGCAAGTCCGGAATACCTAGCGTCGTGGCGGTAAAAATGTTGAAAGGTAAGCAAATTGGAAACTAATTCGGAAAAATAAATTTGTAAGATAAAATGTGTTTTATCTATATTATTATATATATATATATTTATTCATATATTTCTATGTATACATATTTATTTATTTTATATTTTTATATAGAGGGTCACACAGACACCGAGATGATGGATTTGGTCTCCGAGATGGAGATGATGAAGATGATCGGCAAGCACGTAAACATCATTAATTTGCTGGGTGCTTGTACTCAGAACGGTCCCCTGTATGTTGTGGTAGAGTTTGCCCCGCATGGCAATTTGCGGGACTTCCTCCGAGACCACAGACCTACTTCGGGATACGAGCCCGCTATCGGACAGGAATCGAAGGAACGAAAGACCCTCACGCAAAAAGATCTGGTCTCATTCGCTTATCAAGTAGCTCGCGGAATGGAGTACCTGGCTAGTCGGAGGTGTATACACAGGGACTTGGCTGCCAGGAACGTCCTTGTCAGTGATGAATACGTGCTGAAGATTGCTGATTTTGGTCTTGCCAGAGACATTCACTGCCACGACTACTACAGGAAGACGACGGACGGACGATTGCCGGTGAAATGGATGGCACCGGAGGCCCTGTTCCACCGTGTTTACACCACTCAATCCGACGTGTGAGTGTCTAATAGAATAATAATTCGTGCATCTCTTCAATTAAAGTTTCTTTATAATTATTTTTATTTAATTATTTAAAACATCTTCATATTCTAATATTTTCTATTATGATTTCGCAGATGGTCGTACGGGATTCTGTTGTGGGAGATCATGACACTGGGTGGCACACCTTACCCGTCCGTACCGTCGGTCGAAAAACTATTCCAGTTACTTCGAACTGGCCATCGAATGGAGAAGCCGCCCTGCTGCTCGATCGAAATGTAAGACGTGCCTTCTTCACATGACTGTATAATACACTTTATGTATACGATTCAATTCTGAGAATTTATTCTCCGGTTCGTTACTGTAGATATATGCTCATGAGAGATTGTTGGAGTTATCAGCCAAACGAAAGGCCGACGTTTGTCGAATTGGTCGAGGATCTCGATAGAATATTAACGATAACAGCGAACGAGGTGAATAACAATGTCTATATGATTTGCATGTCTATAAACAAGTATTAGCATTTTATAATAGTAGTAGAGTCTTGATTTCACATGTATCTTCAATATCAGGAATATCTGGATCTCGGTCTGCCGCAATTGACCACACCTCCATCCAGCCAAGAGTCCAGCGAAGCGGAAGAAGATGGCGAAGAAAAATTTCCATATCTACTGTGAATCGTATATTCGTCGCGGGAAATGTCACTCGGACATCGCTTACTTAGACGAGATAATTCGAACGATTCACGAATAAAGTGGTGAGAGTGGATCAAATGTGACAATGAAAATAAAGAGACAAGAAGAGTGCGAACGTGAGAGATCATACGCAAAGTATAATCGACTGAAATAAGTGAACACGCCAAATAATATAAATCAGTATTGATCTATGTATCTGTACGTAGAATTAAGGAAACGGAGAGCGGAACAAAAGCGTACATCAACAATATCAGTAGATACAAACGCGCGCGTATACATACGAGATTGAACATCCTACATTTACTATTTTTCTATGAGGATTGATACATATGTTACGGTACGTTTAGCATTAAGACAAAAAAGGAACAAAGTCGAGAGCATTCTGCGAAAATTAAGAGGAGACTGTCTTTTAAGCGCTAATACAAAGCGAATTCGTATATCGTCTACACTGTAAAAAAATATGCAATATATTACATCAAAATATGTAAAATTACATAAATAAGTGTAAAATTACACTGTGTACATTTTCATTATTTCACGTGCAATTTTACATTTATTATTTACAATATTTACGTAATTTTATATATTGTTTTACAGTGTACAGCTATATCTATAGATCTTATATTTATATAGATTTATAGATATTTGTAGAGATATATATCTTATAATTGTGCCATGTGAATCAGTGCCTTACAAGGGTGTTATCGGACATATAAATGGAAAGTTTATGATGACGATACACGGATATTCGTCTGTATTACAGAGATCACACAATTAGATATCAAATGTGGGCATGATATTGTGTTTTTGTAACTAGTCAACTGTGGAAATTGTACGTTTTTCTGTATCATAGTAGTCGATAGATCTTTAGTGTTTCTACGTGACTAGTTTAGTGGACAACGATCATCAATCGTGAATTTTTGTATATCGCGGACAATGTGTTCTGTGGTAAATTTTGTAAAAAGAAAATCAATCTAAAGATACAAACATAGGAGATTAAATCTAACAAGCAATATAAACTTTGTATTGAGGAAATATGCATCGTTTAGAAAAAGAATCCAAAGTATCGCTGTAAACCTTAGCTGTATCGATTGCTTATATTAATATCGATAAATATGTATAAATAGGAAAGATGCTTAGCGGATAGATAATTTATTTCTCATACATCAGTGTCTCTCTCAAGAGCACATATATGTATATACGTATGTATATATTACATATATATATACATATATATTTTCAAGATCTTTTTTACGTAATTTTAAGATAAGTCCTTTATTAAGAGCGACCTTTTTTGTAAAAAGTGACAATAATTCAATAAAAGGAAGAACAAAAAATAGTTTTAATCCGCGAATTGTACATATCGGCGTTTATTTAAACATTAATTAATACTTGTTATTCAGTATTTAGGAGGTAGAAATTAGTGTTTATATCTAAGGTAGAACGTATATGTATGTATAGATTGTGTAAAAGAATCGCACACAAAAATGTGACACTTTCATCTCTAATAAATCGATCGGTCTGTACCCAAATAAAAATAAAATTGTGCTTTTCAAATTTTCTTGAAAAAAATTATAAAAATACAATTCTCCCGATATATTAATAAATTTATTTCAATATTTATGTAAGTGAAATCAAAATTACGAGTCTATTTATTAAAGATGCTTGAAAGTACAATAATTATAAAGTTCAATTTATTTTGATAGAAAATATTTTGATATTTTGCAATCAAAATTTTGATAGGAATAATTTACATGGGAAAAACTGACGTAGAAATTTTTGAATAGACTTTTAATTTGCTTGATTAATTTGGAGCAGTATAATCATTTTATATATAGTATCCTCTACATCTATAATCTATATGCATTTTATATCTCCAAATGTCTTTCCTCCTCTTTTTAAATCTCAGCCCTCTTTTGTAGTTCGAGTCGCTGCCGGCTGGCGCGCCACTTGCCACGATTAGTCAGTTTCAGTCCGTTTTGTTGTCGTATAATCGCGTTTACATACTAAGTTGTTTTTAAACGAAATTTTAGTGAAATTTTGAGTTCCGCAGGTCGCTTATCCGAGAAACGAGATGCCACGGGATACGCGGAACACCCTCCACGCGGAACTTTGCGACGAGTGAAGCTGGAACACAGGATTACCGTGTAATCACGTTCGAGATTGAGGTTAGACTTCCCGATAACCCACTTTCGGATCGCTGAATCATATCCGCACGCCCTTTGGAATATTAATCGAAAACAACAGAAATTCACAATCATCTCCTTGAATTTTTGATTATATTTATATTCATCGATAACCTCCGTCATTTTCGTTGTTCGCGTTTGTTGATGCAACTGAACAATTTCTCATTACACAGATCACATCTCTTTCCAATTAAATGGTGATTATCGGTGCCATGGAGAGAAGGATAAAACTAAAAACCTTAAACAGTCACATAACATGCAAAATATGTCGCGGATATTTGATAGATGCTACCACTGTCACGGAATGTTTACATACATTCTGCAAGAGTTGCTTGGTGAAGCATCTGGAAGAGAAACATACCTGTCCGACATGTCAAATTGTCATACATCAGTCGCATCCGCTTCAATATATCAGCTTTGACAGAACTATGCAGGATATCGTCTACAAATTAGTTCCTGATCTTCAAGAGAGTACGAATCTTATTTTAAATTTTGATTTGCGTCTGTGTAAGAAGTATATATTTCTTTCCAGATATTAATAGAAATTTATGCCTTTATTTCAGATGAAATCAAAAGGGAGAGAGAATTTTACAGAGCCAGAGGTTTGGCTTGTCCCAAAGACATTTTACCTAATGCTGGTGAAGTTGAAGAAGAAAGGGCCAATGCAGACGCACATGCAGAATCGGATTATCATCGTACCGATGAACAGGTAGTTACAACATCAGTGCGCATTTTTACAAGATAGAATATTTAATTAAAACTTGAATTAATTTGTCAAAATTGCAGGTTAACGTATGTTTGGAATGTATGAATGCTAGTTTGAAGACTTTGAAAAGAAGATTTATCAGATGTTCGGCTCAGGCTACAATAACACATATGAAAAAGTTTATCGCAAAGAAGGTTTTGAGTGGTATGGAAAAATATAGGGATGTAAGTATATTTTGATAAATTGGATAACATATTATTATTGTTATTATTTTTATTAATTTGCCTATCTTTTTCGATAGATCGATATTTTGTGCAATAACGAGTTATTAGGTAAGGACCATACATTGAAATTTGTTTATGTGACGAGATGGAGGTTCCGGGACCCACCTTTGAGGCTACAATATAGATCGCACATAGATATGCAAGATTAATCTTTCTATACATTCGAGATATACTAAAGATCACGCAAAATCTGCCCCTACATTTGTACAATTTCTAGATATATTTCCATCTTAACTATCGTAGTATTTATTTCTATGTTTAACTCTGCAAAGCGTTTATGCCGAGTTTTAATAAGATAATTTCGATTATTGTAAAAGCAGAATGATACGCCGCTATGTTATATTACTCGATCACACTATTAGTAATAGCGACATTCCGTTATGAATATCGAGATATCGATAAAATAATGCGGATGCTGTCATAATGAATCGAAGATTGTTTCTGTCATGTGATCGGGATCTTTGTCATACCGAATTATGTTTAGCTTAAAATCTGAATTCTTAAATCTTTATTCTTAGAGAGCACAAGATCTTTAGTAGCACGTTTGATAATGTTTAAGTGTGACACATAACACATTGGGGGAAACATTGCGATATCTTAAGGGAAAAGGAAATCTGTATTTCTAATATGCGGTGATATGTGTACAAGTCTTTCTTTGTAAATATTTAATTACCACCGCATTGTGTATGGATTCTGGGCCTTCATTCTTTCGGCGAATGTGCCCATAATCTTTTCTCCTAAAGTGCAAAAAATGCTGAAGAGCAAAGACATTTTACGACGAAACAAAACCGCAGATCCTCATTTTGTGAGAAGATATATTTCTTTTCTACATACGCATATCCATTTGTGTATATATAGAATATTTTTGACAGAATTTGAACACACACAACATATTGCGCAAGCTTTGTATTAGATAAAATTAAAATAATAATATAAAAGGAAAAAGTAAATCGGGTCGGAATAGTGTGTCGGGCCTTTTTAACTTTGTATGTTTATGCGCCGTACATATTCTAATCGCGTCTCGAGTTTCTCTCAACACCGGTTTGCCATTGGAAAAGAGAGAGATTATTATTCGATATATTTTCTAGAAATTCGTCATTTGATAACGCGTTGTGTTGAGCGAAATGCGCGACGCTCGTCGCTTGTAGTAAAATAATGTTGTTTTATCTGACGTTATATATTAAAACCTTCAGAAACCGGCAAATCGATTTTTCGGCTCTGATTCAGATAGCCGAAACTAATCTCAGTTTCTTTAGACTTCTAGAATATATTATAACTTTGATAAGTTACGTTTGAAAGTTCAAAGTTCTGGAAAGATCGTCAGAAACATCATCCGGTTTCTAAAGGTTGAAAAAAAAGAAAACGATGTGATTGTATATAAACATATAGAGAAAGGCACAATTTGCCGAGTAGCGGCATCGCAAGAATACTAGAGCTTGTACATTGTACACTGTGTATGTGTGTGCATCTCTATAAATTATTAAATAAATATGTTTTGTACAGTAATATCTCGCTACATGGATTCGTTAATTCATTTTTGATGGATAATTATTATAAGAAAATATTGCGCAAAGATGTAGAGAAATACGCGCCGCATTCCTTTGCGAACGCGCATGCGCGCTTTTTGCGGCTGTATTCACTGCGAGCGAGAGAGCGAGAGAGAGGGAGAGAGAAGCGTATTACTGCGGGACCGGCCGCCGGATGCCTTTTCGGCTTACTTCAGTTGAATGAAAGACGCTGTGGCGTCACGACGTACGTCGCGAACGTTTTTTTAACGCACGATATCCCCGTCGCGTTCTCTCACCCGCGCGATTTCTGACACGTATCTCGTTACGCGTATTGTTACGCGATGAGAAAGTGAGTAAAATTGATTTTTTCGATGTGCGCGCTTCCCGTACGATTGTAATTTTACTGCGCGCAATTTTGCCGCAATGTCGGAGCAATAAAAACAGATCGTGCTCCGATCTGTTCCCAGCGAATGGAAGAGCCACGTCTCTCCTGCGTACCGTCGTAATTGACCAGTGAGCAGACCTCGTTTAATCCAAACAGTTCCACGCACCGATCAACGATCAACCAAGTGAGATTTTTACATTTATTTATTTCAGCTTGTTGAACAAAATATATCACGCACGTGCGGATATACTATATTGCCAACGTGAGAATGAACAAGCTATAGAGAAAACGGAGAAAGAGAACGAAGTTTGCATTATTCATACATTCTCGTCTAGTTAAGTGTTGCTCCGATCTATCGGCGATCGGAGGTCATTCGAATTAATTGCTTTTCATAACACATGGATAAGAATTCTCGCTAGCTGCGTTTTGCTCCGATTTGTTCGCGCGAGACTCGCGTTTTACCGTCGATTTTATTATCGGTGTCAATTGCCGCGATGACGGAGGAAGTTTCGCGACAGCTTCATTACTCCGTAATATACAGATACGTATAATGTTCGCCAGACCGTTTAACAAGGAGCTTTACACAGCTGGCGGTCCAGCTTTTATTTCGCTCATTTCGACCGTGTAGACACAACGAATATGCAACCGCCGTATATAGTTTGGTGCATCGGAGGGAAAGTGTATTTATATATGTATATATGTGTATGTTCGCGTGCCTGATTAATGACGCATATATCAATTAATAGATTAACAAAATATTTATAATACCGACTCTCTAATTATAACTTTATCAGCGATTAATAGACGTCCAGCGCGCGCTTGTTTTCAAATCTAATCTTTATTATATGTGTTGATTTACGAAACTCCCATATAAATACCTAAATAAATATTTAGGTATTATTTATTTTGCACGGAAAGAATTTTCTCTTAGAATTTAGAAAATCATGGTAATCGTGGGGCCATTTGCGGTGTTGAAAGAATTTTAAGAGTTTTTTAATTAATATTTATCACAACATAAAATATTAATATCTATATATCCAGACCATAAAACTCGCAATGACATTATGATAACGAAAAATTATATAAAGCAATTATCTTATATTAGGAAGCTTTATGATTTCTTTTGTCATCTTTTGATCATTTTTGTATCATTGTTGTCCAGATAATTTTAAGTGATGAATAAAATCACGATGACATCATGAGTTTTATGTTCTACCATGATTATATCATAAGTTTTATAGTAAAATTAATCGAATACATTTTATATCTTATTGCTAGACTAGATATCAATCTTTTTATTGTGACAATAACTCTGATAAAATTCTTCCACTGCCATATTGTCTCACGATCGCCACGATTTTCAGATGAAATTCTAAGACAAAAATGCTATGCATGCGCATCACATGTTAATGTTTAATTATCGAAGAGTTGGAGAATATTTTCGAATGATACGCTGTACCATCTCCACGAACGCAATGTTTAATTATCAGATAGTTGGGGATTATTTTCGAATTGAGCACGCTGTTCCATTTCCACGAACACAAAATTAATGTTTAATTATCGGACAGTTAAATTGGAGATTATTTTCGAATAACACGCCGTGTACCAAAGTCCTTGGCTCCGGTATGCAAGCGCGCGCGCGATTATTCCGTGACGGAGAAGAGACGCACTTTACTCTCCGGAGTTACTCGCGGCACGTAAAAATTCGGTCATGCGCCTCGACCGGTTTTCTCCCGTTCGTTTTCTTGCATCAGTGCCCGTTACCTATCGCTCCTTTATACCTGAGAGCAGAGTCGCGCAGACCTCGTCGGCCTTCCATACCGTTCGCGTCGTCGCGAAATACGCAGATTTCTCTCGTGGACGGAGAGTCTTGACAACCAAGAAGATCCGCGCGCGGACTATTTTTGCCGGCCGCGTCAGCGTAATTGCGTCTATTTTTATCCGCGTATTTGTATACGGTGAAAAAACTTTAGCGCAGATGCTCGAGACGTCCGAGATTCCGAGATTCTTTCTCCAACACGAGTTTGAAGGTCGAATAAATACGAGAAAAAACGCGCGCATTGTCGAGCGTGATTGTGAATCTCTCCCCGATAAAATCTGTTGTCATAACAATAGTCAGTCGCGAATTGCAGGTGTATTTTGTTTTTTTTCCGAGAAGGAAACACATCACGACTGTCATGTCGAATAAGACGAGCATAGAGATTAATTTAATGCATGTGCTCTCGTGCAAAACGCAGGATGTTCCGTTCTTGCGTTACGTAAAAATACCCAAAGTACTTCCTCCAATAATATATCTTTTTTTGATGTGACTTCTTTATGCGGACTTTGAATGATTATATATGCTCCAATAAGAGATAACGCGATAACACCGTTGATTCAAATATATTCGCAGATTGATCGTCTCCTTCCGTGCTACCGAGCAATGAATCATTTATACTTTATTTTCTGTTATCTATATTAGTGTTTATCTGCTCTAATTCGACTCTTCTTCTGCCTCTCTTTCCTGGCTGCAGATTTCGCGTTAACGACGTAAGCATCCAGATAGCACAGCTATTCGAAAAGAATTCATTTGGATGTCACCTTGTATGTCACCAATTTCGAGTCTCTTTTCAAATACATATGGAATTCATTTTGTAAAATTTGTATGTCACCAATTTCGAGTCCCTTTTCAAATACATATGGAATTCATTTTGTAAAATGAATGTCACCAATTTCGAGTCCTTTTCAAATACATATGGAATTCATTTGGTAAAATACCAATTTCGCCAATTTCGAGTCCCTTTTCAAATACATATGGGATTCATTTTGTAAAATACAAGTGACATACAAGGTGACATCCAAATGAATTCTTTTCGAATACATATGGAATTCATTTTACAAAATGAATTCCATATGTATTTGAAAAGGGACTCGAAATTGGTGACATACAAATGAATTTTTTTCGAATAGGTTGTGCTATGTGGGCATGCATTGAACGATGATTCAACTATATTGATAACCTTTTGACTGATGTCGTCATTGTTGCTTGAATTAAAATCGTGCATCAATGACGCGCGAAGGTAGCACGACATGGCACAATGACGAAGTCGAAGACAAAGGAGAAGTCTTATCATCGTTCGATTGAATTCTGCCACGACTGCCACGAGAATCGAAGGTATTTGCGTGATGCTGACAATCTTTCCTCGAATGTATGCACGCGCGTATATACAACGGGAGTACGGGAGATCGCGTTGCTCTGCGGTCGTAAAGTGCTACATTATTAAAGAGGAGGGGAAAGAGAGATGGAAATAGGGACACGAGAGAGAAGGAGGCCGTGAGAGCGAGGGGAAAGGAAATTGTGGACGGAGAAGTTGTGAACGGAGTTATTCTACCCGCATCATGGTTACAAACTATAAGCCGGATGAATGCATACGTCCCTCTCGCGAATATGAATGGTGCACGTCAATGAGACGTGTGAACAAAATATAATATATAGAAAATATATAAATACACTTAAAAAAATTACTATTTTGTTAATTGAACATATATTAATATATATTTCAGTCAAATATGTTTTTGTTAGATTTAATGTTATATTTCATTTTTAAATATTTCTATGTATATATTCTCAATTAACAAAATAATATTTAGTTGAAAAAAATAGATAATATAAAATATTATATGCAATGTTTTATATGTGTGTATATATATTTATTTATTTTTATATAAATACAGTATACACAATAAAAAATATATAAAATATATATATAGATATATAATGTTATATTTAATTTAAATATTTTATATATTCTCAATTAACAAAATAATATTTAGTTGAAAATAATATATAATATAAAACATTATATGCAACATTTTATGTATGTATATATATATATATTTATTTTATATATAGTTTCCCACGCGTATGCACCTAAAAGACCCTTAAAGATCTTATCGCTTAAAAATACTTTCGGGATATCTGCTGACCGTTATTTAAATATGTATGCTGCGTGGGTTACTGAGTGTTTGTATTATATATATTATAATATATATTTAGCACACTGCAATAGTGTGAATTTTTTAAAAGTAAAAATACGTTTTTTTATATATTTGCACGTAAAGCTATATATATGTTCTTCTCGTTTAGACATTATATTTAATTATTATATTAAATAGCTTTAAGTGGGAAATATAGAAAAAGAAAACGCACTTTTACTCTTAAAAAATTCACACTATTGTGTGTAAAAACAGTATTTTACATTATAAGGATGCATAGCGACACGGCTAGATCGCGGTCACGATGATTCACGCGAATATTACTGGAAGCCCGGAAACATTGTTTAGCGTTTAATTACTATAATAACGGTGATCTTTGTGGTCAGACGGAAAATTTGCTTAAACCTCGTTCCATTTCGCGAATTCGCGAGATTTTTCGATGAGTTTTGGCACGCGACTCTATTTTCTCTGGCGCGCCGACACAGAATAGAACTTCCGGCCTTCGATCGAGTGTGTACCATGCATGAGTGATTAAGGTATCCCACGCATACTGCAACAGACACTCGTGATGACTCGGATTTTCCGAGTATACGATACGAGTGGTACGAACAGTCCGCTTAGTCAAGGCCATTTTCACGTAAAACGGACAATTGTCACGGCTTCCGAGTACAGTCTCAAGTCGCGAAGCATCAATTTCGCAGAACGCTCTTTGTTCGTATTCATTTAGACTTATGTCTTACGCATACGTACATCGTACTTTGACACTTGTAGTCTCACCTCTTCTTGCCCAACTTCGCATTTACTGCTTTTTTAATCGTCCGCCTCCAGAGATCACGTTTTTGTCTAGAGTTTCACTGTCAAAGTTCACGGACAATTATACAATATGCGGTATACAGGGCGTCTGACGTAAGATGTCTCACACCGAAAATATACAAGTAGATTTCGTTATTTCGAGATGAGCTTTTATCAGCAAAAATATTCAAGCATCAATAATTTTCGAGTTGTGATAAGTGATTGAAAATAAAGAGTTTTGCGTAAACTAAGCCTTGTGGAAATAAAATATTAATACATTCTGCAATTAATTTCAAGTAGAATTTACTTAATAAAATTTAATATAAGGTTTAGTTATAAAGATACATGATATATATATAATATATAATATATATATATATATATATAGCAAAAATTGGGAACATGCAAAAAATGATGGACTGCCTCGACATTTTGCTGAGGAAAAATCGTCTCCGAATAACGAGAGCTACATGTATATTTTCGATGTGACACTTTATGTCAGACACTCTGTATATGTAGTATAAGGTCAATTAGGTGCATTATGAAAACGTAATTCAAACCCTCTGTGTATTTTAGATCGTTCGAACGGATATGCGTCAACACAAACGGGAAGCTTGACGAACCGATCGATACGCGAAAACAGAATCACGCGAGATTCTCTTTTCTAATAATAATTTGCGACGAGCGCCAGGCAGCTTGCATCGCGATAACTCCCTTGCAATCTCTGCTTTGGAATATTTGGTATAAACGCGATGTATGAAACAAGTCGTTGTTTCACGTTTCATGCTCCCGCGATTACGCGGAAGCGAAAGACAAACGCTTTGACAATCGCATCATCCATAATTAATCCATCCGCGCGTTTCGCGCATGTATTTGCGTTCTGATCGACAAACATGACGCACATGTTGATTAGACTCCATTATCTTTATCAGCAATTCGATATCATACACGGGGGAGAATTTTCTCTTAGAATTTACCCTGAAATTACTTTAATCTTGCAAAACTTACTTTGTAGATATTAATATTTTTGTGTTAAATGTATTAATATGAAAATCCGAATAACTTTTATAAAATTCTTCCAATACCATATATTGTTTCACGATCCACGATTACTACGATTTCAGAGTAAATTCTAAAAGAAAATTTTCTTTGTATATAATATTGGATTGCTGACAAAGACAATAAAAGCTAATCAACATGTGCGTCATGTTTGTCGATCAGAATAGTAAAACTAATCAAACATATTTGATATCTTGTTATGATAGATATTAATATATTTTTTATTGTAATAATAACTCTTATAAAATTTGTTCAATAGCACATTATTCTACCATTACCTTGATTTTCAAGGTAAATTCTAAGAGGAAATTCTCTCTGTGTACATATATGAAGAAGTAGGTCTTTTGGAAAAAGTAGGCCTTTGGAAGATTATTCTTTTGAACGCGCGGACTCTATATTTATGCGTACACATATCCATACACGCATCTATATATATATATATGTGCATACATAAATATAAAGATATTGTATATACATTGTATATAATTTCTTACACACATGCAAATGTGTCCTGTCTGTTACCTTTGCCGGTCGCGATGCGTGACTTTCACTGTTGCAATATGCTCCGTTATTATGTAAGAAGGAGTCCGTGCGATTCATTCAGCCACGAAGAGGGTTGCTGCGCGCACGCAGTAATTTGCCCGCATAATTCCCTTCCTTTGTCGTATTTCGAATGAAAACGTTAATGCCTTTTTACGAATGTATATTTATGCAAAGCTAAACGTCGACTTTTTTTTATTGCATAACGAAAGAAAGAAATAAAAGACATGTCGTCGCGTGTCATCGTGTGTCATCTCGAAACACTTGTCGCAATTCGACGCAATGCTATTGGATGATAACATTTTTTTTCTGATATCAACTTGCAAATGATTCTTCGAGCAGTGTCGAATTTTATCTCACGTTCGAAGTGTAAGATGAGAGCTTTGGTATGTACAATATATGTTTACGACGTTAAATGCACGATGATAAAGAAATCGATTTCTTCTTTATTCTTCGTTATATTTCTCGGGGATGACTTATGATGTGTGCATTTAATTATTAGATAATGAAAAATTGCATCAGCGATTTAATTTGTTACTATTAATTCCGAAAGTGCGATTTATTGTATAGTTTGGACGATCTGGCGTTTATGTTCTCTTGCGGGATCGATTGTATAACACGATGTAAGTCCATTATATAATTTTGTTCTCGCCTTATTAACGTAACGATGGAAAGTGTGCCGCAGAACCAAATTCTAAGTTTTAAGTGCGAACGAATGGGCGGAATATTCATTTTTCGCGGCTTCCTCTACGCGCTTTGAACTTATTTGAAACGAAACGGCCACGGAACCGTGACGATTCGTGTTTTTCGCTCTCTAAACTCCGATTCGGGCGTATTATTTTTATTTGTGCGTTCATGTACGCAACGAGCCGCGAACGATGATAACGAATAGCGCGTGTGTATGTCATTTATCTAATCTATTGCCGTATTATATCGACCATGCAGTCACCGATGCAACTATCCGATCGTCAACATCCTCGTGGTGCATCATTCACTGCGAAATGTCAGCGTATCATGATTTTGTATACACATCGAACCTCTCACATACTTTGAATTTATACATGCAACGTGTGTTTGCTGGTATTTATATAAAATTATTATTAATTATACAGATGATCATTCAGATGAAATTTTGGCATCATCTTATCTTTATATAAATAATAAAAATATGTATTATCTATTATCTCTGCATCTTAGATGAAAAAAGTGTTATCTTAACTAAATTATCTAGATAGATAGTAGAACAAGCAGTAAGAGACAACAACTTAGATAAAAATAAATAAAAATATGAATATATTTTTATATATCCCTTTTATAATGTACATTTTTTATAACTGTGTTTACATAAGCGGTCTTAAAATAATGTTTTCTGGAAATTATCTAGATGAGCCGCCATATAATTTGATCTTTTATATAGATATACTTAAAACAAAATTATCTTTATCTTACCTAAGATGAATTTACATATTTTCATCATGCATGAGACATTATTTGTCTGTAGATGGAGATGCATTAGCGTTAATTGTACCGTGCGAATGTAGATCGGTATCTCTCCTCTGTTCATCGGTAGATACGTTGACGATCTTCTCGCGTCAATCATATAATCGTGTCAGAGATAAACGCTGGAGATAACGATAGCATTGTGTATATATTACTAGGTGCGGTTATATAGATAACGTAAAGATAAATTGCTTGGTCGCGGTTCATCGGCCAATTGTCAATATTATTTTCCACGAGATGCCGAAATTATCAAATTACAGTGAACTCTTGAGCGGAAAATAAATGATAAAAAATGAATGTAATCTTTAGCAGGAAGTCATCTAAAATCGAGTTTATAGCGATAGAGTAAAAATATAGCGACTCGAACCTGTTGCTAGAATGCATGCTCGCATGCTATATAGAATTTGTAATGTTTCTAGAAATTATTAATATCATTACACGCGGAAAAAGAAGCAGGTTTCACTTTCTACGAAATTCTTCGTTAAGGCAAAAATCGAGAATTTCTTCTTGTTTTTATTTCTATTTAATACAATATTATTATATAATATATTCAATATAATATTGTTATATAATATGTTACTGTTTACACTATCTAACGTATTATCTAAATGAATTTTATTTTATTTTTTTATGATCGAGTTGAAAAGAATGAATTATCTATAGTAGCCATAGAATTCATTATTATTGAAAGTCGGTGTTCTCTTTTTAAAATAAATATATTCATAGTTTGACAAAGAAACAGATTTAATCTCTTCAAAAAAAGTCCTGGTATAAGTGATTTCACAGATGATCAAATATATTTCTTGTCGCATACTTTTTGTTTCCATATTATTTTCATTTAATGACACGGCAACTATTTTTGCAGATTCATTGAAAACATTTTCCTTATTTACATTCTTTTTTCTAATCGAATTTAAGAATAGAAAAATCTCTAGTATAATAGCCATAAAAACTCGTGTTGTTTCAAACTTTATCTTCGTCGCAGCTGAGGTTGTAATATAAGATTCGACGCAAAAAAGAGATCAATTAGGTAATTTGACTTGTCAATAAGATTGTTTATCTCTGTAATCGAATATATTTTGCAACACTTTTTTTATCTTCTCTCTCTTTCTCTACAATTTCTACGACTCCGATACGACACTCCGCGATATCTTTCTCGTTGCTTATCGGTCTTAACAATCTTCGTCGTCGTCATTCTCGTAGGCCGACGCCCATAATCGTCCCTGCATCCTTTGTCCGTGTATCCAAGCGAGATCCCGAGAGGCAGAATGATGCACACATCCCGCGGACGAAGTTCGAGATGTATCATTTTATCGCGAACTCGCCCCACATCCTGTGACTCGTGTCACACTCATACACGATCACACCTACGCCGCAAAGTCCCTGGACTCTTTTTTTCCTATACGTAAACGAATTAATTCTCCCCTCGATCGTGCACATACGGGGTCGCGCCAAGTCGCAAAGGGTCGAGTCCCCTTTCGATCGCGGCAGAAATACGCATAGACCTGCTGGAATTCGGCTGCACGAAAATGGCGGGGTCGCTTTAATCCCGTTCGACTGTTGAAAAACCGAAGAGATACAAACAGCTACAAACGCACGTCGAAAAAAATTCCTTTTCCCGTAAAATAGTTTTCTTCGTGACTTTGTCAAAAAAAAAGTACAAATTCAGGTAAAAAACGAACTAAGGAAGAAGGACCCAAGCGCAACTAATTTATTTTTCAAAGTCTTCTTTATCTAATTTGACCATCTGCAGCACAGCGATTAACAAAAAAAGGAGCGAAACGTTTAAATTGAATAAAGAAGATTTTTTAAACAAGTTTGCTGCGTTTAATTTTTGCTCTTATTAATTGTAAGTTTTTTTTACCTGAATGTGTATTTATAATATCGGAGTTTTCGTTTTATTATACAAATTTATTTTCCATTTATCATTATACAAAAGACCCCGCACTAAACCCCATGAAAAAGGACCCCGGTGAAAAGGCTGAATTTGAAATATATTGTATCTTTGGGTCACTAAACAAATGTTTTCTCAGGTTAAATGTAAAAAAGTAGACAGTTACGTCATTTCAATCCTTCAAAAGCTGACCTGAGGTCAGACAAATATATCATTTTCGGATCAATGCGGTTATTAGGAACAATATAAATTTTTAATAAACAAAATAGTTAGAGAATAATTTAACTATTAATTTAGTGCGGGGTCTTTACATTTTGATGCACTAAAAAAATTATTGAATTTGAATAAATATTTATTTTAATACTGACTCATAAATTATTTATTTGAAACTAATAATATTCATTTAATGTGAAAAGATATTTATTAGATACAAGAAAATCCTTTTTAAAACAGAGACAAATATTTATTTAATAGATATTTATTAATTTTATAATTTTTTTTCAGTGTAATAATTATAATGTGCAAAAATTTGCTCATGTGGAAAAAGACAGATAAATAGAAGTTTGAAGCATTATTTTAGACTCGTGCGATCGCTCGTGTCTAACACCGGTTGTTCTCTATTATGTATGACTCGCGTCATTATAGAGAGTTTTTGTGAGTTCACCAAACGTGCGTGCATGTGTGCATATATACATATATACGTACTATACAGGATGTCCCAATCTTATCGTACCATTTGTTTCTGGGAGAATATCTTAAGGTTATTTGAGACAATTTTTCCCCTGAGGTTATTTGAGACGATTTTTCTCAGCGAAAATGTCGAGAAAGGTCATTATTTTTTAATGTTTCCAATTTTTAAAATCATATCTTTGTAATTAATTGTAAGCTTTAAATTAAAATTTTATTAAAGTAAACTTTACTTGAAATTAACTAAAATTAACTGTTTATACAATAACTCGAAAGTTATTGGTGCTTGGACATTTTCGCGGAGGAAAAATCGTCTCCAAATCGCCTCAAGAATCTCCCATTAACGAGTAATACAGTAAGTCTGGGACACCCTGTATAGTATTCGCACACAATCTCTTTTTACACACGTCTCGTCTGACTCGGAACAATCGCGTTACGCTCACCGTTTTTCTCACTCGCAAACGCGTAACTGTCTGGTGACACGAACAGTTACGAAAGACTCGAGTGAGCATACACACGTGTTATTGTGTCCGTCGCGACAATAATTATATCAATGCTCGGAGTTTTGTAGGCACAAAGGAGCGAACTGTGTCACATGTCGCGCTTTCTTCACGTTCTGTGAGAAAAATCGCGCTTTTCCGGATCCGCTCTAAAAAAAAGTCGCACGTGTACTATAATCCTCCTTTTCCAAATATATGTTCGATTTTGTCGGAAGTCTAATTTTATATAATTATCGCAGGATGTAATAATAGCGCATTTACTGAGACATTATATATCCGATAAAAATGTCGGCGATAAAAATGTTCTCGTTATCGACGATCTTTCAAGCGGTGTCGAATTTTATCTCGCGTTCATGTTTAATATAACTCGATCGAGGTGTAAGATGACAGCTTTCATAAAATACACGTATATACACGATGTCAAATACGATATATAATACACGAGTGTCGAACCACGATGATAAAAAGAAATCTTTCATGAGGTTTCAGGTTGCCCTACTGTTTCGAGTTGACGCAGGAAAAAAATGGGAGCCTACTAGACTTAATAAGTTCAAATACGATTCGTCTTCATAGATTGACGTCAGTCTAATATCTAATATTGTAGCACTTTCGGGCGTCGTTCGTTCAAGCGAATCGGCTGATTCTCAACGTGAATCATAGCACGAGTCACGTCGTAACATAAAAACGCAAACACCCGTATGTCCAACACATGCGTAGCTTCTGATTCATGTATTTTACGCGAGAGCACTCATTTCCGGTCGCGGCGAGCACGCGACTGAAATTTCGCTCGATAGAACCTCGCGATCAAATGTTATTCATCGACAAACAGCACTGTTCATCGATATTCTAAGCGAAAAATTTCTCATCGCAACCTCGTTGCGATATCGACACGCGTCCTCGTTCGCTCAAATTACGGAGGACCCTCCGATAGAAAATCTTCCTTCTCTGTAATAATTCACTACAATTTTCGTCAAAGTCACACGACGATGTTTCGTCGCACGAATATCACATGAGAACTTGATAGACCCATTGTGATACCTTATCGGAGTAACGGAGCTCTTTATTAGATTTACCTAGAACAATAGCGTTTAAATTATCGTAATTCGAGATGTGTGCGAATGTATTTATATTAAATCAAGATCTGTAACTGGACACTCGTCCATGATACGGCTTTCCAGCGATCGTGATTCATTACGAACAGCTAATGCAAAGTATATAAAAGTCGAGCGGATGAGATTTTCCGCGAAGTGCGAGAGAATAACCGCATTATAAAATTCAATAAAACGCATAATTGCGTCCTTTCGTGTCCGGTATTATGAGGTATGCGATGTTGGTTCGTGCATATTTTGCGATCGTTCGCGGTAATAATTCGCAAAGTAATTCGCGTCGTTGCGACATACCTAACTCGGCGTTTGTAATACGGCGCGATTTTACTTTTAGATCGAGGAACAGGTCAACGACAGGTTTCTTTTTTCCTTCTTCCAGAGCTCAAACGAACGCGAAGGAAAGCTAATCGCGATAATGCGATGAGACGACGATAAGCTGCCGCAGGATTTCGAGTGTCAAGTTCAAAGTCATGTATCGATCAGCTGGAATGAGGTCCCCGGTCCGTTGGCTGACTGCGGTCATCGTCGTGATCTTGGGAACGACAGAAACGACAACGAATCTTGTTGGACCCAACGTATGCCCCAAGCAAGAAACGTAAGTGTATCGCGTGAAATCTGGAATTATTAATTAATTCGCGAAACGCACGCGCGTTCGCGGTGAGATCCCGCTGAACATTCACTCGAGTTCGTCGAGCGTGAGTTATCGCTTATGTTGGGAAAGCTTTTATGAAATGTTGTTTCCTTCATCTTTTTATCTCCGTTATCTTTTTAGGTACACGATAACGGTGAAGGTGTCCGAGCAGAAACCTTATACCGTGCGAGAGAACACATGGTGCTTCAGTTTCCCACCGAGATGTTCCAAATACAAAGTTGTCTACCGAACGGTTTATAAGGAACAGGTCCGCTATTTTCCAGCAAATAATATTCTTTTTAAGATCTGATATAAAGAGAGGGAAAAAGAGATTTAATTTTCATGCTGTTAATGTTTTTATAAGAAACTTGGGTCATAGAAAAGAGGAAGGATTCACGATGAAATGCCAATGAACGTCATTCGTAATGCTTTTACGCGCGCTTTTGTAGGAACTGGTGAAGCAAAAACCCGTAGATGAATGCTGCAAAGGCTACACGCAAACCACGAACGGAGACCGTTGCATTCCAGTCTGTTCCGAGGATTGCCGTCATGGTACTTGTATCGCCCCTGATATTTGCAAATGTGAATCGGGATATGGTGGACCATTGTGCGACTTCAGTAAGTGAGCCTATATAGCCTTCGTTCGATATTAATAGAGCACGCATTCACATGCATACATTTCTTACACATACTTAATATATATACGCTGCGTTCACGATTCAACATTCGAATAGAGTGTCATCTAAGAATTAATATAATACTTATAAAATATTTAAAACAATATAATGCTTGTAAAATAAATCTTATCTTTATAAAATGACACTTTACGCAAATTAGTATACTTTGTAAGGAAATTTCAAACATTTAGAAAAATTTCAATATCTAAAAATATTTCATTAAAAACGATTAAAAACAATAACTATTTTTACATCGAAATATGTTGAAGAATATTATTAAAAATTTAATTTAAATTTGGAATTATTAAAAAGATCGTAAAGAGGAGAAATATAACGCGCGCAATTTTGTGCACCAACGAGGATGTAAAGTTGGTTGAAGCAACGTAAACACGAGGTGATTTATTTTTAACTTTGCCGTACGAACAGAGTGCCCGTTCGGTAAATGGGGCAGAGATTGCGAGATGGATTGTAAGTGCCAGAACGGGGCGGCTTGCGACCCGTTTGACGGCAAGTGCATGTGTACGAGAGGCTGGACCGGCGTATACTGCGATCAAAAGTGTCTTCCCAACCGGTACGGGCAGGATTGCGCCGAGGAGTGCCGTTGCAAAAACGGTGGTAGGTGCCATCACATTTCTGGCGAGTGTCACTGTGCCTCTGGTTACACCGGACCACTGTGAGTATTTTTTCTCGTTATCCGATAGTAAAATTGCAATTTCTCCGAGAATTTATCGGTGTTTATCGAATCTCTTATCTATACTCACATAATCTGTCCTTTTATATTTCTCAAAAAGATATGATTAGGAAGAATCTTGAAAAAGGTTTGGTACAGTTTAAAGTAAAAACACTAATAAAGGAACTATACAAATAATTTATCCTGGAATAAAATAAATTTTGAAATAAATTGTACTGAAATCTTAAAATGGAATAAAATAAATTTTTTTGCGAACAATAATAATAATTAAAATTAATTAATGAAATAATAATAATTATAATTAATTAATGAAATAATAATAATTATAATGATTACCTGTGTTATAGATGCGACGAGCTGTGTCCGGTAGGTAAGCACGGTGAAAAGTGCAAATCGGAGTGCCGTTGTCAAAACGGCGGAAGCTGCAGCCCCGTAACTGGGGAATGCTACTGTACCCCTGGCTGGACGGTAATAGGAAATTTTATGCAATTTTTATTACAAAATATATTATACCAAATAAAACAATTTGACGTGATGTCTGTCATGCAGGGTGCAGTCTGCGCGAATCGATGTCCGGAAGGTTTCTGGGGCAAGAACTGTTCTCAGATTTGCGACTGTTATAACGGTGCCGGTTGCCATCACATAACGGGCGAGTGCCAGTGCAAGCCGGGCTTTTACGATGACAAAGTAAATATGCGATTAATTGTATCTGTAACGCGATGTTAAATCGAACGATTATTATAATATTATCCCTTTTTTCTCCTTGACGCACGGAAAACAGTGTCTGAAGACTTGTCCCGCGGGTACGTTTGGATTGAACTGCACAAATAATTGTACCTGTGAAAACAGTGCCGTCTGCAATCCTACTAACGGCACTTGCATATGTGGCCCGGGTTGGATGGGCGAAAAATGCGGTCAACGTGTTTGCAGCGGCGATTTATACGGACCCGATTGCACAAAGGTAAAAGAGAGAGAGTGCATGTGTGTGTATCTGTGTTTCTCGTAAAATATTCAGTTTTGAAATGCTCACGGTATTTTAAATTGTAACCCAATTGAAAGATCTGCGAATGCGAGGACGACAACACTGAGCTGTGTCATCCTTGGACCGGACAATGTACCTGTAAGGTGGGATGGGATGGCGAGACCTGCGCCAGGCCGTGTCCCTTCTACATGTACGGCAAGGGTTGTAAAAATCGTTGCGACTGCAAAATAATGCGCAGTGTTCGCCCATCGATGGCACTTGCATCTGCACGGCCGGATTTCGCGGCAAGGATTGCAGCGAGCTGTGTCCCGAAAACACCTTCGGAGAAGATTGCGCGCAGACCTGTGCCTGCAAAAACGGAGCTACCTGCTCTCCCGAAAACGGACGCTGCAACTGTACAGCCGGTAAGTATAATTTTATATTCTGAGGTGTAATTCAAGTCTGTGTAATTACAGAATTGTCTCGTGATTTGGAAGATTTGTTTAGAGCAAAGAGTAGATATACGTTTATCAGAGAAAGTGTTAGTGTTAAAAACTGCTTGAATTCTTTTTAATTTATTCAATTTTTTTCTCGTTTTTTATCGGTCTCGTATTATTTCATAATTACTTTGCACAATACTTTGCATGATGTATTAAACGATCCACCTTATCTGATATTCTCTATATTTTTCCATCTCGTTAGAGAGCTCGTCTGTAGAATATATTTATCGTATCGTCATGTTCACCATAGAATCATTTTGATTAAAGTCTCTCAATGTATTTCCGATGAAGAAGATATTATTCGACATCGGTAAGTACAAACGGATTATACGTATCTGTATGACATTTTACCAGGATGGGTCGGTGTACTGTGCGATCGTCCATGCGACGACAAGTCGTACGGCAAGGACTGCGAGAACAAATGCAAGTGCTTTAACGATGCAGCCTGCAATCCGCAAAATGGTAAGGTGGCTATGGATGGCGATCCTTTCCTTCCATTTGTGTTAACTGTTGTAACTCGATAAAGTTTTATTTTTATTTTTAAAGAAATGTACAGTGAATATTGTGCGCGATATATATATATATATATATATATATATATATATCCCTGAATCCTTTTCCTTTGCACTTGCACCGAGAGTACACGCGTTATCTTATCTATACACACGCAGGCACATGCACGTGTGCGGCTGGTTTTACCGGCACGCTGTGCCAGGATCGTTGTAAAAAGGGCTTCTTCGGGAACGGATGCAATCAAATTTGTGAGTGTGCCGAGGATAACACCGTGGATTGTGACTCCACCACTGGCCGTTGCAACTGCAAGGCAGATTGGCGAGGTTTGTTGTGTTTCGCGTCCGATATTTGCAAAAAAATTATAATTATATATATAATTATATCGCGAAACGCGTTTCATCATTTGTGCAAGAAATTATTTACAAAAACGATTACACGGAAAAATGTACAAAACTTAACTATTCATCGCGTTATCTCAGTTTAAAGAAAAAGTCTAGTATAAAGAAAAAGAAATAATGATAAATGCAATATAAAAACGCGGCAAACGAAGAAATCTCGTTTCTCGAGACGGTTTTGCTTTTAACATCAAAACAGGAGTTCGATGCGAAACAAAATGCCCGGAGGGTCTTTACGGCAAGGATTGTCACACGCATTGCGACTGCATGAATAATAGTTCGTGTGATCCCACAACCGGAAGTTGCGTCTGCGCCAGGGGTTGGCAGGGCCCCGATTGCTCGCAACCCTGCAAAGAAGGATTGTACGGGATAGGATGCAAAGAGAAGTGCCCGGAAAAGATGAACGGTAGGAATTTAGACATTTTTACAGATTTGATTCCTCTCTTGCATGCGTGATAACTTATCCAAGTAACACTTTAACTGTCATATTTAGATTAAGTTGCATGATTAACTGTGTTTTATAGGCAGCATAAAATAAACGATTTGTGTTATCGCACACCTCATTGCTTTACATATTAATTTTTTACATGTAAATAATTTTTATAATTATATATGTATATAGTGTATAATAGACACATAAGCTATTAATAATCCCTTTTCATAAATGCATAAATCTTCACACTCGGTCAATCGCTTTCGTGGAAGATACGTAAGTTTAATCATCTCGCCACAATAGTATCATACAGTTAGGGAATATGAGTCGAATAGAGTAAAATTATAAGATTTATTTTGATGATGACATTTATATACACATCCGGAGATACAGATAACATATACTCTTGATTGTGAATTGTTTCTTGCGTACTTTGCGGTACAGTTATAACCAAATTCGAAGCAGAAAAACAATTTGACCGCTAATTGCGTAAATGTTTGACGTAAGCGGTAGTCGTAAACTTTGTTTCTTGCTCTTTGTCACCGACAGTTTTTATCTCACCGACCATTTCAGTGAGTGTTTCCAGTGTAATCATATTGTTTTATCTATTTTACACGGCTAAAACGAACAATGAATAGTGAAAATAATCACGACGAGGATAAAGATTAGAAAAACGAATATAAGAAATATACATTTTTTTTACATAAATCTTTTTATCGTCTGACAAACTAATTATTGTCTTCTTTTCTAGGAAATATGACTTGCGACCACGTGACCGGCGAGTATGTTTGCCGTCCAGGATATCTGGGTCTGACTTGTGAGCATCCGTGTCCTCCGAATCGTTACGGGCTAAATTGCGCGAATCATTGCCACTGTAAGAACGGCGGAGAATGTCATCACGTAACAGGTAAGATTCTTTGAGCTTTAGAAAATCTTGACTAGACCTGACTGCCTATTCAAAAGAATGCATCTTTATTGAGAAATTTTTTTTCAAATCTAGGTGTTTGCCAATGCCGACCTGGCTGGCAAGGCGAATATTGTCAGACACCTTGCGCGGATGGAACGTACGGCGTAAATTGCACGCAGCATTGCAAATGTCAGAACGGCGGAAAGTGTCGATCAAACGATGGTCATTGTCGATGCGCCGCGGGATGGACCGGAACTAGATGTACCGAGAGTAAGTTTGAAAAACTACGGCGAATACTGGTGTAAAGAAGAATATATGTTAAATTATATTTATCAAAAATCTGATGATATTTGCCGATTTCAGTTTGTCCTGAAGGATATTACGGTGATCATTGTATGGAGCCTTGCGAATGTAAAAATGATTTCTTCATGTGCCATCCAGCCGAGGGCTGCATCTGCAGGCATGGATATACAGGTATATACTTGAGAAATTTACTTTATGTACAAGAATAATATATTGAGGTTTCCTTGTGTTTCAACAAGCTACATTAAAATTAACGAATGATTTCTTTCAGGTGAGAACTGCGACGAACAATTATTCTCCCGCAATGTTCAAGAAAAGGAAGAGGGAGGATATGGACATATTGTGGCGGTCGTATTTGCGGCCATCATTGTGATTGGCATTTCATTGACCGGGTGGATGTACCATCGTCGCAGAGTAGCCGATCTCAAGAACGAGATAGCTCAAGTACAATATATAGCCGAGCCTGTACCTCCGCCAGGTGAATTACTTTACTTTTGCTTGCGAGTCTTACATTAAAATTTTATTTATTCAAAAATTTGTATCGAAAAGAACTCAAACTCACTTTGAGCAGTCAAAATATAAAATTTTGCTTTTTGTCGTAGACCGAAATCAATTCGACAATCCTGTGTATGCATATCAAGGTTCCTCAAAGTTCGATGACGGCACTACTACTTTGCTAAACAACTTCCAATTCCGAAATAATCTTCATAAGAATATAAACACCGAGAAGGCTAAACTAGGTAGTTGCATCGATGACGAAGACGACTGCAAAGGTATCGCATATTTGTTGACTAAATAAATGAAAGTTTGCGCAAGTGTACGAATAATTTTGTAATGTTACTCAGGAGCGTACGGACTGCAGTACGATTTGAAAAACAGGGACGCTGATATGGGAAATCCAAACTTGAATGTGTATCACAGCATCGATGAGATGGACGGTAAGAAAGTTGAACATGTTTATGATGAGATCAAGCAGAACAACGAGTCGGAGTACGACGAATTGAATGAACCACGACCGGTAAGCTGGAAGCCAAGTCGTGTACTCAATGGCTTCTTGTCGAAATCGCGCGACAATCCCGGACCTAGCACATCGGTAGATAAGGATCCGGAATTAGGATAAATCTAAGATTCCCGCGCAACGTTCCTCACTCAACTGCCCAGGTTTGAAGTAGAATGTTACAAATGTCTTCATTGTTTACTCATAGGCTATTTCCTTTGAGTAAACCTGTGGTATTATTTTCACTTCAAAAAATTTCTTATTGTTAGTCTCTATAAAGAGAAAGAGAGAGGGAGAGAGTGAGTGAGTGAATGAGTGAGAAAAAGGAAGAGAGAAATGGAAAGAGAGAAAGAGAGAGAGAAAGACAGATGCTATCATGGTTAATTACTAAACTAATTTTTTAAAAAGTATGTTGGATAATATAATTGTATATAAATATATAAATTGAAAAAAGATTTCAAAATTAGATCAAAAAATTTGTATTTCTAATTAAATTAGATTTTTGTATCTACGTTAATTAGGTACTTTTTTCATTTAATTAAATTATTACTATTTGCATTTCTTTTTAACATTTACAATGCTTAATATATATATATATATATATATATATATATATAAGGTAGGAAGATCGATAGCAATTAAATTTTTATGCCGATTTTTAGATCTTTAGCTTTCACTTGAAATATCGATCTCTGCCATTTTTTATTTGTAATGGACCATTTTATCGCGATATCCTAAAAGGTCTTTGCATGTATATCACAAAATTTTAAATATAGCTTTAATAATTAAATTATTTTATATATCTCTCTCTATTTGATGCGCGTGTATATGTGTCGTTAAAGAAAACATAGTGTAGTTTAAGCAGCTGGCAATGATATGAACAGGTGATAAGAAATCAAATTATGAATCAAGTATGAAAATACATGAAGGCCCGGAAAATCCTTTAGATAGGTTTCATTCGTATAATTATTGATATCTCATGGTTATAAAAGCAATCAAAAAGATTTTAATGTTTGTTGATTCTAAAATTATATAATTTTAACATATCTTAGAATAAAGTAGCGTTATATACATATATCTGGCATCATGAATAAATGCAATTTTATAAACGCAATAAAATTATGAAATTATACGCAATAAATTAGGCAATTATTATATTATATATACGAGAAAAAAAAAGTATAAAGCAATCTTCATTTTATTCTACTTATTAGTCATAACGTGATTCTTATCAGCTAGGCTTTAATCGGAAAACACGAATACAAGTTTTAAAAGTATCGAGTTTTTATATTTACTTTATTGTAAGGAAGAAGAGAAAGCGTGTGTGCAAGATTTTACGGGATTTTATTTTTATTCCTCGTTTTATCTTGCAATTATCTTGTGATATAATTCTATCTTTTCGTATTACTGTGTATCTTGTAGTTGTTGTGGAAGTTATGCATTAAAGTATCGCGCGCTCCGTAATGTGTATGACTATTTCGCAGATACACAGTTTTGCATTATACGGAGCGTACATCTATTCTTAAGATTATCCTATAAGAGAGTATTTTTACTATTTAAAGACATTACATAATCAATCACACTGTGACTTTCATCGATCAACGCCTTTGTAAATATTTCTATGGCGGAATGTAAAGAGCATGACTCGTGATTTTTTTTAACGGGATTAACCGTCTCTGAGTCTACGTGCTTGTACGATTTCCCAAATGGGCGGGACGGTCCAGTAACATCCACCAAAAAACTGCAGCAACGCAACCGCGCGAAGGCACATGTTCTCATCTGCAATCAAATGCCGAAATTAGCGAAAAAAGCAAAATCCGAGTCTTTCTCTCTCATTATTGTCGCATCTTTGTCGCGCGTTGCGTACTAAATCTAAGAAATCTATCTCTGTAAAATCTCTTGTAACAAAAGAATAAAAGAAAAAATAAATCTCGATGTTACACAAAAATACGCACTATGCACGAAGCAGAATGTCAGCACGCCTAGTCCGACCAAGGTGGAGAACAACTTGTGCGAGCGATTCGCGAACTGATTTCCAGCACGTCGCACAACGTTAAGTCCTGGCAAGTGAACAAACTGCCGATGCTAATTCCACCAAGTAGCGAGCATGTCAGAAACCAGTAATAGTTATTCGTATAAGATAAGGCTACAAATAAAACGTTAGTGAAAATTGCGTTGTAAGTTTGTGTTAAAAAAAAAAAAAAAAAAATATATATATATATATATATATAATTGTGCATTATTAATAAGTAATTAATATTAAGAAAATAAATTATTTTATGATATTATTGAGTAAGGTTGAAAAAAGGTGCGCGATAGATAATTCGGATATATACCTAATAAAATAATACTGCCGAGCCAACAGGCAACCCCGAAATATATCCTTCTGTACTGTGCGGTGGTCATGATGGACCAACAGCTGGCGATGCTGGGTACGAAGGAGCCGAGACCGGCGACCACCAACAACGTCACCCAACCGTCCGAGTGATAAACGGACGAGACCGCGTTTCGTTGCAGAAACACAGCGGGTACCAGGATCCAGAAGTAGAGCGAACCGGCCTTCATCCCGATCCACGTCACTACGGCCGCCCAGAACCGGAAGTAGCGAACCACGCGAAACTCCTGCTTCCACTTGCCGCCTGAGCGCACGGTCGGATTGAGGAAGAGCTCGACGTCCTCATCTTCCTGATACGCGTAGATGCTATTCACCTCGCTGAACAGAGGCACGGCGTTTCTATCGCGTTTATCACCGTTTTCGTACCCGGCATTGTCTACGCCATTACTCTGTCGCTCCGACTCTGAGTCTCTGTCCGGGGATATTCTGATGCCCAATTCATTGTCCTCGTTGGTAGGCAGAAGCAATCTGCATTAACGAAGACAATATTATTAATTTATTGATGTATATCGAATACATTCAATAACTAGAAATCATTATAAAATTATTCTTTTATCTAGAATAGAAGAAAGCGTGAGTAGTATTTTTTAATATTGATGATGAAATAATTTATTTTGCCAACAATAAAATAATTCATAGGAGATGTCTTATTTGTTAAAAGTCAATCTTCTAATTTTTCAAAGAACTTATCTCTGAAGAGTTTTCAATATAAGTTCTAAACGTATTATCGTGCACAAAATAATGTTGCTTCTTAGTTTTTTGTAATTATACCACGAAGACATTGCACTATCGACCTCTTGGAATATTACCAAAAATAAAACATGAAAAATAATTTCAAAAACCTGAAGTTCAAATCGTTCCAATCAAGACGCTTCCTTTTATGGAATTTCGCAATTAAATTTTCGCCTGGAGATTTAGGACAAAAATGTCTCATCACCTGTAAGGAGACGCTCGTTGTGGTGCCGGAGAGCGCAAAGTCAGCGTGCCCAAGGCGGTGGGAATGAAGGCGATTGTCATAAGCAGGATACTGCTCTTCAATCCGGTCTCCACGAGCAAGAAATGCATGAGCGCAGGCACAATCGTGAAGCCGAAGGAAGCGGCGATGTTCTTCAGCGTCAGCACTAGCGGCAGCTTCACCCTGAAGTGCTTCCGCAAGACCGTCTCGCTCTCGACGATCACAAAACTCGCTCCTACACCCATCACGGCCCCGGCACTCAAACTGGCCAGATAAGCACCCGCACCACCGGTCGCCAAGTATCCAGAAGCTATGACACCCGTAGTAAGGAGGGTCACGCCGATCAGACCGACCAGTCGTGGTATCGACGCCAGATCCGTGATCGTTTTGGTCCATGGATCTGGAAGATCGCGTGAGCGAGAATAGACAGTCGAAATCACAGGTGAATTAAGTCGATTAAGTACCTGCCAGACTCCAAAAGGCGACGAACAGTATCGGTGTCAGGGTGATCTTCGCGCTCCACAGATCAAAGTAAAATAACGCGTTATTCGTCGTTAAATATCCCAGCACTATGCCATACATCGAGAGAACGCTAGGCACGGTTATCTGTGTAAGTTTTACAACATGTGAAATCAGTTTCATACACCTGTATTTATATAAATGACTAATTGGTATTTTTTAAAAATATTTTTTATTTATATATTATACATTTTTTATATATATTATATATATTAATATTTAGTTTGTTTTATGAAAATATTTGTATTTTATAAAATATTTAATTAATTAATGTTTTTTCAGTGCATCGTGACTTTATAGACGTTTAATAGACGTATTATACAGGGTGTCGAGAAATATAAGCACAATAGTATCAAAGATTCTGTACTCACCTACTGAAATTACAGACAATTAGGCAATTATTTAGATTTATAATCGTATGTAGCAATTATGAAAGATCGATTCGATCGAACGCGCGTTCCTCGTATCCGGCAAACTTATGTCTCAAACACACCTGGAACAAAATTATCTTTTATCCCTAATGTTTTAGGTGTTTTATAAGCGCCATCGATTTGTACGTAGTAAAGAGGAAAAAGATAACAATATACTTTGATAATATATTAAGCGTATATCTCCGAATACCCTGTACTGTGTTGAATATTGATCGCTCTTTCTGTTTTTGCTAATTAATTTTATCTAATTATTTTTACAACTTTACGAAAAAAAGCAAGAATTGCGTTTCGTATTTATGCACTGAATGCACAGGATTTAATGAGACCTAATATTTAATTTTAAGTAGAAAAGCTTTCACTGAAGTACACTCTACGTTGATTAAGTCGCACCTGAATAAAGACAACACCGAGGAGAACGAACCACGAGTAGCCACCATCTGGAGCAGTTGGTCCGATCTCCGGAAACGAGCTGACGACCTCGTCGAGACGAAGTCGCCCGGCGAGCGACATTTTCCAGATTGTGTTCACGCTAGACAACAATAAGCAGAAGCTCGATGCAAATTCGCGCGATAACGTAATGCAAACGTAATGATGAAAAAGATAAAAAAGTTCGCGAACGCGACACTCTTTGTCGTTTCGAGCGAATAACAAAACTGAATTAAGATAGTTTATTCTGCGAGCGATATCTAATCTTGGATAAGATGTCGACGCGCCGATAGCCGATGATAAGAACACAAAATCATGTTGATGATCGCACCTGCCGAACCTCAACACCAACGCACATTTCTGGAATTTAATTCGCGTGCGATTAATCTATCTATTTTTTGCTACAAAATTTATTTATCTACGAACATGATAGAAATATTTTTAAGGGACTCTGAAATAAAAATTCAGGAAAGGAGAGAAAGAGAATCTTTGTAATAAATAAGATTTATTTATATGAACAGATTAAAATCGTAAAATTAAATCGAATTCTATATTAAGCACATTTTTTATAACTTCACGGTCGATGACGTTGATAGTATATATTTGAAAAAAACATTTACTAGATTTCACAGCTATGAGCACGTATAAAAGTCAAACGGTACACCACGCAATACAGATTACTTAATTTGGCGTAAAATGGTGCGATACCGTTACGATCAAAAACGTTTTACAAAGTTTTACGTGCAAAGCAAAACGCGATCTTTGACTCCCTCTTGTCTATTTTGCTTCAAATCTGGAGATTGGATGAGGTAAACGAGTTCGCGAGCTCGTCGTCTCTTCACGAAATGAAAGTATTTTATTTCAAGTACAATTTGTCCTTTATTCACACATCTTCGCGAACGTCACTATTCGCTATTGAAGTGTATCGAACCCTCTTGCTGACCGAATCGAGCACCGGTTCGATCTTCTTCTGGAGTTTCCTCCGTTGCAGGTAGACCAGAGCACACACCAGGGCGATCAGCAGCATCGACAGAAAACAAAGTATCACCTTCGTTCCACGTCGGGTGGAAAGCATCAATTTCGTTGCGCAGTTCTTCGTTTCGTGAAATTCGTGAGTCGTGTTTCCTAATAAAAACGAAAAGATATAAATTTCGATCTTCTCTTGTATGGCAAAAATTAATACTCAAAAGTACCTTCGTAGCACTGTAAGTTAGCCTTGTTCCGAACAAAAACCTTTGTCTTTTTCATCCACTTGATGAACGGATTGAGCTTGCAGGAGCACTCGAATGGATTGCCGATGAAGTCTACGGTCACAGACCGATTGTGCTTAGCGAGATTATCCATGACATGGAGATCGCGTTCGAGGACCCGCGTGAATTTGTTCCGTCGAAGATCCAGGAAGCGCAGATTGTGAAGGCACGAGAGATTGAAGTGAAGAGCGCTCAGGGCGTTATCCCCGAGATGGAGGTCCAGGAGCCTCGGTAGGTCGCAGAACACGTTGACGTCCCGGAACTCTGAGATCTTGTTTTGTTCCAAGTGAAGCTTTATCAAGTGCGTTAGGTTGCTGAAAAAAATTGAAGAAACGTTATACTTCTTTTTTAGAGTAAATGAACCAAGTGAAGATCAAATAGAGTAAGAAACGCGAAGCACCTGTTGACGAAGATGTCGTGAAGCGTCGACGCCAGGTTCCTCGGTGAACCGTCCTCGAAAGCGCGGGTAAGATGCAACTCCAGAAGGGAGACGAAGTTGGAGAACACTCTCGGATGGCTCCTCGCCGGGTCCAGCGAGAGATTATTGAAGTCGAGGATGAGACGTTCCACGTGTTGCACGTGATGGTAGGCCTTGCCACGAATTTCGCGTATCTTGTTGTTCGACATGTCGATCACTCTCAGATACGGCAGATTGTCCAGAGTGCCGAACACGTTCCATGGAAGTTCCTGCAGGTCGTTTCCCGTAAATATGAGCACCTAAAAAATTGAAAAAAAATGTTATAGTTATTAACTTATGAGGAAATCAGAAAGTAAAATTCTTCACTAATTTTATTTTAGTTTGTTATTATTTTTTTAATAGAAAAAGCTCTGAGATATATAAATACAAGACGTGGTAAAAAGAACTGGTACATATATTAGGCAATAAAATTATTTTTCAATTCTTCTATATTTATTTTGAATATTTCAGTTCTTTCTTTTTAAATCATTCTCGTCAGCATATCAAAGAAACGAATCTGCTGACTACTGCTATAATTAAATAGTATTACGCCTGATTTTTACCAGCCTTCTTATACCGTGTTTTGTATTTATTTTTTTAATACTTTATATTTTTACAAAAGCGCTTATCTCATAAAGATATATTTTTCGTCTACTTTAATGATACATGCAGAGAATTTTCTTTTAAAATTTAAGTACTCTGAAAATCATGGTAATCGGACAGTATGGAAAAATTTTATAAGTGTTTTTCTGATTAATATTTATCACAATAAAAAATATTAATATGTACATAGTAAAATTAATCGAACATATTTTATACCTTATTAAAGATAAGTTTTAAGAGAAAATTCTCTCTGTGTACAAACACTTTTGTAAAAATAAAAAGTATCAAAGCAATTAAATATATTAATCAGAGAAACTCTTATAAAATTCTTCCAATATCATATATTGTCCCATGATTACCTTAATTTTCAGGGTAAATTTTAAGAGAAAATTCTCCCTGCATATAAACACTTTTGTGCAAAAATGAAGTATGAAAAAAAGAAAAAAATCAATCGGGAACGTACTTTCTAACTTCCTCTCGTAGGTCTAAAGTATGCAACGTATACAGAGAGGAGATATCGCGTCTCCTTAATCTTATCTATACGCTACGCACTTGCGTGTTGTTGGGAAGATGCGCCAGCGGAGAAGTGTCCTGGAATCCGGTGTTCGTACAATTCACGACGTACTGATAACGGCCGTCGTAGCACGTTCTCGAGCAGTGACAGCGATTTTGAAAGATCGGGCCGCACTCCATCCTGGACGAGTCCGACGTCTCCAGAGAGTGAAAGTTCGGGTCGTTGCAGTCGTTGAGGGACCCGACGATCGACGCGAATATAAGTAAAAATGTGGAACAAAGAGCGACGAAGAAGACAGTCCTCATCGTTGCTTGATTGACGACCTCACGTATTCGGAATGATTTCGAGCTCACATTTATGAGCTTACATCCGACCGCTGGAGTACCTCGCCCGAGATTTATCAGTTAAGAAGTGCTTCACGCATCACGCACTCTATCTGTAAATAATAGGTACAAAGAATTTTATATTACACAATCGTCGAACTAGCTATTTGAAATGACTTCTTTGTGTATCTAATATCTAATCGAAAAATACTGAAGCAATTCCGATTGCTTTACCTTCGAGCGGCTCGATAAAACTCTCGGAGCAGAGCTAATTAAATCGTAAATTCACGCGATTGCACTAGGATTATGTAAATGTTGGGCCGTCGTATCTGTCGGCGATTTAAAGTCTTACTTTTGAAGTAGGTCGCACAGTCATATCTTTGAGTCGGAATAAAAGAAAAACGTCAGACTGGCTCTCCCACGCGATAGATGATGTCGAGTAAGGAAACCGCCTTTTGCGTTAGACTCTTTTGAATATTATACGGACGAGATCGGAATATATCGCGCGCTTGATTACGCAGCGTAATATGTGACCGTGGCATGATTACACTTGGCAGCGTTGACAAAAAACACGTGCAAAATTATGTTTAACAATCACAAACGCGCTCTCATTAATTAATTAATAACGCAAAAAGTCGCAGATTTATATAATGCCACTTGTATAAAAATTGCTTGTACATTTAGTTAATAAATTCGACTTTTACTCCGAGGCTGAACCGCACACAGGAAATTCCTACCTATCTAAAGATCTCACTTATTATTATTCTCCCTGCATGTCGCCAGAAAAAAGAAACTCGGGGATCCCCAAACGTTCAAGACAGGGAATATATGCATCGTCGAACTGTACGTTTCATGGTGCGAGAGACTCCGCGCGTGTGTGTGTATATATACATATATATGTGTATGAGAGAGAAAAAGAAAAAGAGACCTGTCCTGAACAACAGCGATCAGAAGTATACCTCGTTTGGGTAAGTTGCGCTAAAAATGTCCGAAATCCACGTAGAAGAAGCACTCTCGCAGGTAGGAAAACGCGTACGAAGAGACGGCGGAGTCTCTCTTTTTCTCTCGGGAAAGGACACTCCTGTGTTCTCGCACGTTCTCCACGACGGACCGCACAACATTGCTCGGCTGTGCCTCATCCCGACCGACCGCACCTGCGGTCCCACTCCCTCTTGGGCACCTTTGCGGGCCCCCCAGGTGCATGCAAACCGGACCCCCTCCAAAGTTCCCTTTTACCATTACTCCTCTGCTTTCTCGCTCCCCTGTGTTATAATCGCCTTCTTCCGATCTTTTCCTTTCTTCTTCTTCTTCTTCCTTCTTGCAGTCGCTCGAGCGATTGCTCACTCGCTTCGTTGGTTCCGCTTTGAGATCATCGTTATTAACGACTTGCAACGTGCTCCTCGGTTGAGGACGTGCGATTTGATGTGCTTATTCTGGGTGTTGAGTCTTATAAAGAATAATTCAAATTCGGAGTTCGAAAAGAAAAAGAATTTAATTTTGCAATCTTTTTTTATTACATTTACAGAGGCCTTTATTAATGATCTCTTTACTCTTTATTAGACACACACTATATGTTCTTATTAATTATATATTATTCTTCTATAGTATATTTTTCATCGTATTATATAATAAAAAATTTGATCTGATTTTTGTATAATTTTCAATTATTCAATTTTTATTATTATTGCAATTTCTCGTTGCACTTTAGCAAAATGTTTTCGAGATTTTTTCTAATGATTTTCAAACTGAAAAGATAAATCAATAATTAGGCAGTGTAAGACATAATACATTAGATATCCTTTAAATGTTTTTATTCGTCATTCTTTACATTAATCATAATTAAACATCTTATAAAGATAGATAAGTATCTTTATTTATAGAGAGCTGCTGGATGCAGAATGGAAGTCCATTCGAGGAATATATATGATGTATGATAGCGGAAAGAGCGCAAATAAATCATTTTTTATCGGTACAATTAGAAGCTTATACGCTTTATTTTTGCACGCGCAAGTGCAATATAATTTTACATTATAAATAGATTTATTTAATATTTTTGTCTCTTATATTAAACGGCAGACGACATTTAAATGTGTGTACAAATACAATTTGCGTTGAAAAAATATAAAATTGCAAAATCATCGATAATTTGAATAATTTGATTCAGAAATATGTAAAAAAATTAATTTGTAGATACATGCGTGCATATGTATTTGTGCGCGTGGGTGTGCATATGAATATTGATACAGAATCGAAAGAGTATTGTACGATCTTTAGTCAAAATACGTATTGCTGTTACACGCCGTTTTGTATTTCTTTTTTTTTTTACATACAAACAACAATTATACTTTGCGTTACAATTTTTTTTATATAACATCGACGACTTCGTTGCTTACTATAAAATTATTTGTTTTATTTAAACGGCGAATATATGTCATGTTACATGATTTAACAATTGATTTGATCGCAAATTTTAACAATCTCTAATTTAATCACTTGTTTGGATTTTCGCTCGCGACAATTATATATCAGATGTGTTAAAAACTTAATTTCAAAGATAAATTTTTCGATTATGGCTCAATTTTTCGTAATCAATGTTTTTGCAAAAATCTTAATTACGCAATAGAGCGTACGTTATAAATAATTATATAATGTACATCAAATATTATCAAACGTATTTCGACTTTTATAATATGCAATGCACCTTTAAATCATTGCATATAATCAGTCACACGTTTATTAATGATAATTTTTGTAAATGAAATCAAGAAAGAGAATTATATGTAGCACATCAAATATATGATACAAAGATTCGAAGACTATTTAGATTCTTATTATTTATTATATGTATAATGGTATAAAAAATATTGGTACTTTAATAAAACGCTGCCTGAAAAAAGTTTCGGTAGAATAGTTTCAGCTGCAATTAATACAATTTACAGTTCAAATCGGACACATTTACTACTCATATAAACAGAGGAATAAGTAGTACTTTTTAAAAAAGTGGCAGGAACAGTTGCTGCTGTATTTCATAAAACCTATATAAATATAATCGCGTTGTTAATACATATATAAAATAATATATATATAAAATATACATATATATATCATGAGACAAGCAAATAAATCGATGAGAATTAATATTAATAATTTTTATATAGACTAGATATACTATAACGATTGCGCTGTAGATTAAAGTACAGGAGCTATATTGATGAGATATCGTAAGTATATATGTTGATGTTTTTCCATCAGTTTTGATTTGCGAGATTAAGCGTAGAGAACATTAATTAATGTAAAACATTATTTAATGTTTCTTAATGTGAGATTTCTGTATTCAGATCATTAAAGCCTACACTTGATTATAAGATTAGTCAAACGAAAATACAGCTTCTGATAAAATAGATTAGATAAAAATTAGAACTTATAATTATTTAAAATATTAAACACATGCTAGTAAGATACATTATAAATATGTCAGATACAATAAAATATGTACTTTTGTCATAGACGTAATATTTCTACAATATTCCTCTCATATTATGCAATTTTTTCACTTTACATATCAACGCAATGCGCTAGTTTGGTTTACTACTTTGGCCCGAAGAAAACCTAGCTGTATAGGTACCTTGTGAAAGATATATATTAAATGCTTATGTATATATAAGTCTTTAAACTGGAAAAAATATATATTTGTATATAATAAAAGAGCATTCTTTTTTTGGCAGTAATCGGAAAAACCGAATATAAATTCATTCAAATATGTTTGCATTCAATCAAAAGTAATCTGTCTTCTTTACCCAAAAAATCAAGATTCTCTTCTCGAGTAAATATATTATGTCGACATATATAAGATATATGTATAATATATATAGTTGTAAATATAAAGATCAAGATAGAGTATTAAAATTCTCTCGATAATATCGTGGAAGTAAATGTGACATTAAAAATGATATATTAAAAATATTCAGGAAGCATTTATCTAATCAGACTTTTTGTTACAGTCCTGATTGTTGTTGTTTTCTCAAATCTTTTTATGAATGACTTATATACACACTATCTCAAGTGATTATATTTGTACCAATTTAAATCAAATATATAAATACTACTCAAATTGGTGCAAATATTTCATAAATTTTGCTCCATCTTTTATTATCCAATAGCCTCGATTTGTACGGATCTTTCTTTGAAATTTATGTACATGTCTCGATAAAGATCACATATAATTATATATTTCAATTTTAGGAAGATACCTGTGTGCAATTTATCTTTGTATCCTTTTATAAGATAAATCAATCAAAAATTCGATATACTATATTACTCACATTGTATGAATTTTTCTGTACGTGATAAAGATAAATTGTAGATCAATCTTGTAAAATATGTATATCTATTACAAGATGTCATTATCAAGTTATTTACAAAGAAATAAAATTATAAAATGTTTCTATTATATTATATATATATTTATATAATATATGTCTCAAAGTTTGAATTGGTCCCAGAATAACGCGTACCAATTCGGACAAGATGATGATACAGCCTAAGAAATAGTTACTTACCCAATGTGCTTTGTACCAATCAGAAGAATATTTCGTCCATACGGTATGATCAAAACACAATTTGCAAAGTATCTATTATTATAGCATTGGCACGGGAAAATAAAAGTTTGATATTTTCTGTACGGCATTACTATGGGACGTGGGAAGGAATTCAACAAGACGAAGAGATTCTTACGTGACATGTATGATAAATCAGTTTAAGCTTTGTATCTGTCCGACGCGCCGCCTTCGCAGCAACAAATTAAAGCGAGTATCAGACCAAGGATCTCTACGATCAGAATCAATATCGCCGTAATCATCACGTGATAAGTTTGACCTTTCAGCGTGTCCACCAATTTTTGCGTGCATCCCTGTAATGAATTTTTTTTTATCTCGATGACATACTTTATATTTAATATACAATGATAAATGTAAAAATTATGCAATGAATATAAAATTAATTGTTTTCCATTTACATCAAAACTCAGATAAATCTCACTTTTGTCTTTCTTCAACATCCATGTTAAAAGTAACTATTATTAGAGATATAGAAGCATAAAAAAACAGTACCTCGCTGAAGATCGAGTCATTTGTTACTCCGGCAACTTTCATGTTACGACCCTCATTGCAGGCAACAGTGCCTATATTTCTGCAACACGATTCTGGTACTTTGAATACGTTGTTGGCATCGTTGGAGACGGTCAAGCTAATTGGAAGAGAGGGATCCTTGCTCGCGTACTTGCTACCGGCCCAATCCGCAGGTCCAGTGGCCCCGCAGCATTCAAGACCGGATTGAATCGCATCCATGATTTGGGTACGAGATTCCACATCGCCATATTCCTTCTGCAAAAGGTAATGCGATGTCAGTTTATACGCTTCTAACAATATAATTACTTACAAGTTGGATAATTACAGGACGAAAAATTACCTTAACAGTGTTTATCACGGAAGATCTCAATAGTCCGTCTAGACGATCGCCATGAGTGTAGAGCCAGCCTGCGAAAGCTATTTGGGCCACTATGATGACGAGTATGACGACGAAAAATATGATTAGACTACACCGAGAGTGCTTCAAAGCGCCGCAGCAGCCTAGGAAGGCAACAATGAACATGAGGATACCAGCGGTGAGCAGCATATAAAGACCCGCGTCGTAATTGTTGCCCTCTTGAGCGATCGACACCAAGAATGTCTTGTCTGTCAGCATCCATGATGCCAGGGCTATCACCGTTATCGCGATAATCTTTAAAAGAATACATATAACATTTAATTATAAATATACCTATATATTTGGCTCTTATATTCTATATCTTCTCTTATATAATATGCTCTTATATTCTATATCTTTTCTTATATCATATGCTCTCGTATATAAATTTATTCAAATTTTATCTCTGGAAAAACTTGAATTCGCGTGACGTTTACAGAATAAAACGCTGCAATACAAAGAGCGCAACTTTTCAGGTACGAATACATATGCAGTCCCAGCGTTGCAGGATAAGAGGAAGGCTAACGAGGCACTTTAACAAACCGAACCGAGCAGGACAAGGGAGGACGCAACATTTACAATGGAACAGTCTGTCCGCCAGATGTGGCGGAGCCTCCATTGAGGCGCGAATTTTTATGGGGTTTCCTGCATTGCGTCTCTTGTGAAACGCGTTCATGTTCCATCACGGAGTTCATGTCTCAAAAGAGATCGTTAACGTTAAGTATACTCCGTACCGTTTTCAAGTACCAGTACATTAGTCAATTAGCTTATGTAAATGAATATGAATGAAAATATATGCTAATATACGGAATCTCCGTGGGGCCAAATATTTGTAGGGGCGAGAATCCTTTTTTTTCTCTCTGTTGAGACAGAGAAAAAAAATTAAAATTTTTAGAATCAAGAATATTTTTCGTAGCAAACATTCAATGGAACCGATATATATATATATCTAAAGAGATAAGATTGGTGAGGAATATAAGTATAAATCTCGAAAATATATTATAATATACAATTTTCGAAAGAACGCGATAATGGAAACACTGAATCGGAAATTTCGACATTTTTATTAGATATCAAATCGCTTATGCGAAAAAAAACGAGTAAAAAGAATCTCTCAGAGATACACGCGTTTTTCAAAGTCTCGAACGCCCGCCATATTTTTTAAAAATTGTTTTCTGCAATATTTATATACTTATAATTAATTACTAATCGTGCTTTTAGACGAGCTGTTATCGCAAATAATTGAAAATATGCAAAGAATTTTAATTTATTTTATTTCGAGAGAAAATACTAAAACTTTACTAAACTTTCTATTTAGATATAATGACAGTTGCATAACTGCCAGCACAAGACTTGAAAAGACTTCCTGTATCTACTATATATCTTTTATTCATCGAGTTGATGTAAGAGCGTGAACTAAAAGCAATCTGGTGAATCAGAGGATTCCAACGAGCTAATATCAGATCTAATACCTAGTGTTGTGTGTACTTGAATAATTTTAAAATTAACTAGCTAAAGATGAGATAAAAATATGTAAATTCATCTTAGATAAGATGATAGTTTTGTTTTAAATATATCTAGATAAAAGATTAAATTATATATATGTTGATTCATCTAGATAAAAGATTAAATTATATATATGTTGATTCATCTAGATAATTACCAGATAATATTATTTTTAAGTCCGCTTATGTAAACGCAGTTATAAAAAAATATAAATTATAAAAGGGATATATAATAATATATGCATATTTTTATTTATCGTTTTTATCGTTTATTGCTTGTTCTACTTCTTAACTATTTTTATGTGCTACAACTTTAACCCAAATTATTAACCCAAATTAATCCACATTAGTCTAGATAATTTAGTAAAGATAACACTTTTTTCATCTAAGCTGCAGATATAGAAATTTCATCTAGATGATCCTTTATATAATTTTATTTAAATAACAACAAACAAACTGCTAAATTGAAACGTCAACATAATCGTTTCTTTCTTCGAGTGATCGTAAGTCGTAATTTTATTCATCCGCGACGAAACATCACGTACATCTTTCTTTCGGAATTTTTCGCGCGAAAAACGTGTGTTGTTTTTAAAAGCATAACGACGAGTTTCAAAACAACTGACATGGCTGCATTAGAGTTCAGAGTTTATCTTTTTTACTCTACATTGGAAGGAACTAGTGCAGCTAGTTTTACTAAAAAGAACAAAGATTATTATTATATATTGTAAGTATCAGGGTTTGGTAAATTATAAAATTAATTTAGTTCAGTTAAAAGTTGCACGAATAAAAAATTAACTCAGTTAAAGTCAAGTTAAGATTAAATTATAACTGACGTTAAATCAAAAGTTAATTTTCAAAAACATTTATATTAAATTAGAATTTTGCTTGTTAATTCTTTTATGCCATATAAGTAATATATTTTTTGGTAATTACAATTGATGACAAATGAACATAAAAAAAAATTAATAATTACTTTCATTTCAAAATAATAACTCATAAAAAACAATAATGGCTCAGAGATAAAAACATTTAACTTATGAATACATTGAGCTGAAAGTTATTAACTTTTAACCAGTTATTACCCAACCCTGCAGCAAGTATACAACAAATATGGTCAGTATGCGAGATGCAGTTAGAAGACGGAGTTTCGCTGCGATATAGTCGTAACAAGGGAGATGACAGAAGAGAGATAGGAGCTGGAGGAAGGAAACGGGGCCGCGTCGTGTGGGTCGAAAGTTCGTAGGAGGAAACACGCTCGTTCTCTCTCTTCGACTACGCGAAACTGTATATTTAAACGCGCATTCATCCAGGCATGAATATTTCGTAATTTTATACTCGGATTTCTCTATGTTTGCCTATAAAAAAGAAAAGAGTTTAGTATTATTGACTCTTTAAGTTAATATATATACTTCTTCATCTCGAAAATTTATGCGCAAATAATCCGCTCCATCGAAGAGAAGTCTCTCTCTTTCTCACGCCGCGTCTTTTCTAGGATTCTCCGGGTTTTATATACTTTTGGCCTGTACTTTAAAAGTCATCATCGATATTTCGGTCTCGGACGCAATTGACTCCCACGCATTCGTAATCTCATTCGTGCAGAGAGCATAAATCTCCTCTCTCTCTCTCTCTTTCCTTTAACAAGAAAAATTCAAACAAAATATATAGCTAATAAAATTCAATAATTAATCCACCCGTGAACGCTTCGCATTTGCAGAGTACGTGAATTGCATTAACGCGTTTGATAAAAATTAACATCATCGTGTCAAAATATGAGCGAAGGGGCATCGATGATAATTAGACGCTTATTACGAGGTACGACGAAAACAAAAGGTCTCAATCAAAATTTAAGCGATCTACGACAATATTTTCGAATGATTTATCTAAAATAAAGAATCAAAAGAGAGAATCGTCTGCTCTCGAAGGAGAGGAGGAAAACGCGCGTTCGGCAAAACGGTATCGCGAATTAAATCGCCCGGGTGTGGAGGGAAAACGCGTATCGATCTGACGGGAAGACTCACCAAAAATACGAGGCTGACGGCCACCAGCGCGTACTTGGCGAAGTTGTAGCACAACGTTCCCATGTCGCTTCCTTCCTCCTCTCGAGATTCTCGCCGACGAAAAGAGTCCGCGCGGAAGAAAACGCGGACGATACGACGACTCGTGCGATCCGCTTGGCGCGGCTGACGCTAATAAGCGGGAGATCGGCCGAGAGGATCGGGAGCCCGCCGCTCCGAGATGAGCGAAGGGACGCGCCTGAAGTTGTCGCTTCTCCGCCGTCCGCAGATTCGACGACGCGACGCGGGTCTCCTACTCGCCTCGCTCGAAGCGAAGTTATCGATACCTCGAGGCGGTTTTTTCGCGCGAACGAAAGTCGGACGACGCTCGCTCCTACACGCGCAATTTCACGCCAGCTTTCTCGCAAACGATAACAATACTTCGGAGCAGACGCCAGATTGTCACTGAACGGAGCAACTGTCGAGCGCTGTTGGCGCTGTCATAGACAAAGTAGATTACTAGATGGGCGGGCGGATGCGAAGGTTAAACGTAAGAGCATTGAATATATATTGATAGGGTATCCTGTAGGAAATCAAGGACAGATTTTTGTAGAAAAAATACAGTTATATTATATTTCAATATTTAACAATAAGTGATTCGGGAAGTGTCTTGGTTTATTTATGAATTAATATTATTTATTATTATTATTATTTAGTGAAATTGAATAATTGTGAATTTTATTTATTTTTCTTTCAATTAATAATTCATTAATGGAAAAATTAATTTTATTATTATTAAATAATAACATAATAATATAATATTTATTTTCTTAATTTTATTATTAATTAATTAATAGAATAATATACATGAAAATTGACGTCGGTGTCAGCCAATCAGCGACTCCCTTACAAAGAGTCCACCAATCACTTTGCATCCTTTTTTAAAATTTAAACATGCGAAATTGAATTCTGGAATAATCTTACATATCGTGCAAATTGCAATAAATGACAGAGCGGAATAAAAAAGCTGCAAACCAGGAGAATCGATAGTAATGAAAATTAGATTACAGAAGTGAGAAATTCTAAAAAGAAACGTGTGTTTAGGCTCCAATTGCGAAGCGGGCTTAATGTATCGCGAGCAGCGACAGCTCGATTCATCGTTCCCTCCTTCTCTCTCGCTCTCCCTCTCTCTCTTCCTCCTTCTCTCTGTCGCGTGGTCCGCGGAGTCGCGTTAAATTTTCGTGGGTCTTCCGGAAGAAACGTAGACAAATTTCAGCCGTTCGAGCAGCCGGCGCTTTTTTCGGCGCTCGTCGTCCCGGAAGATCCGGCGAAGCCGTAAATTCCTTCTCCCGCGATTTTCGCGCCGTGCCGGCTTTTCAACGGGGTCGCGCGACACCGACTCCTCCATGTAACCCACCGTGTAACCACGTGCTTCGAATATCCTGTCGGCGGAGAGAGCCGTTACGGAACGACTCGCTCTCGCGCGCGCGAAAAGTCTCGTCTCTGCCTCGTCGCGTCTCTCGAACGTGTCTTCGGATTTCGCGGATCGACCTCGACGAACGGAATCGTCGCTTTCGTTAGCTTTCGAAACACGCAATTATTTTGCGCAGCGAGCGCGACAAGGAACGTTTCGTCGCGTCAAAGAAAGAAAGGCATGCCGGAATGATCGAGTTCGTGGACGGCTGGTTTTTTGGCCATACCCTGGGCGAAGGAGCCTACGGCGAGTAAGTGTCCTTCGATCATCGTCCAGCTGATGATTCGTATATTTATATTGTTTTTTTTTTTTTTCGATTTTTTTATCTTCACGAATACCTTCTTCGCGCGATTCTCGAATGATCATCCATTGTTCTCATTGTTCACGTTGGAGTTCAAATATTTGTGCGATGATTATTGATAGGAAGTTTTTATCATTTTTGTATATTATTTCTTTTTAATCGGGGTTTTTAGAAACAACGAGAATTTATATATTTAATTAGTAAAATGTATTTATAATTTATAATTTATTTCATGTGGTCTCTACATTGCAGGGTCAGACTAGTCATAAATAAATCTACAGGCGAAGTTGTTGCTATGAAAATGATTGACACAGAGAAACATCCAGATGCAAGGCAAACAGTTCGCAAGGAAACTGCTATTCATCGTATGTTGTCAAATCCTAATATTATACAGTACTTTGGAAAGCGCAGCGAGCCTAACATGGAATATATATTTTTGCAGTATGCTTCAGGTGGAGAATTATTTGACAGAATTGGTAAGGTTTAATTAAAAATTAATGATGCAAGATAAATATATATAAACTATTTTATGAAATATTTTAGTATATAAAAAATATGATCTTTGCAGAACCTGATGTCGGTATGCCAATATGTGAGGCACAAAAGTATTTTAGACAATTAATTTCTGGAGTAGAGTATCTACACGGTCGAGGAGTTGCGCATAGAGATCTTAAGCCAGAAAACTTACTTTTAGATGATAATAATAATTTAAAAATAAGTGACTTTGGACTAGCAACGATATACCGTATGCAAGGAAAAGAACGTTTATTGGAGAAAAAATGCGGAACATTACCTTATGTTGCACCAGAGGTATTAGTAAGATCGTATCATGCAGAACCTGCAGATATATGGTCTTGCGGAATCATCTGTGTCGCTTTACTGGCTGGAGGTAAATTTTCCATGTAATACTATTTGAAAATGTACACAAGGTGTTTCAAGAATAGATAATCAAACTTTAAGAGTGTATTCTACTTGTCTTAAATATAAAGAAAAGGTCATATAAGTATTACAGGAAGGTTTTCTAGAAACATCAATATTTTATTATGGAATTGCTTTCTTTTTTTTTTGTTTTGCTTTGTTAAAAATAAATTCTTTTTTGCATTAGTGGAATCAGTAATTTACATTACAGTAAATATGATGTATCCAGAATTTTGGCTACTTATTTTTGAAATACTTTGTATTAAAAGAAAATAATGGACACTATTTATGACACTATTTTAATATCATTATTCATATCTCGAGCTATTACATATAATTATATGCAATTAATTTATTTTGATAAACTTATTCAAAATTGCAATTTGCTATTACATACATATACATTACACATAATATACATTACACTTTCTCTCTCAACAATTATAAATATATAATTATATAAATCAATGTGCCTTCTAATGTATAATCTATTCAAATATCTAAAATCTAACTTACATTTCTCATTGTCAGTTTTTAACTGGTCCATGTCTGAAATACAGAACTGCCGTGGGATCAACCCTTGGCAGAGTGTCCTGAATATGTCGCATGGAAAGAACGGAAGTATATGTCTCTCACACCATGGAAGAAACTGGACAATTCGTCATTAGCATTAATCAGAAAAATTCTTATGGATTCGCCATTAGTTAGATACAAAATATCAGACATTAAGCAACACAGATGGTTTGTCACGAGCTTTGTTAAAGGTAGCATTTTAGATAAAATAGGTAGTAATTTAGAAAGACGTTTAAATTTCGAATCGAATTCTAACATAGATATATTTGTGTTATATCTAATGAAAGTTTAATATTTTTATAGAGATGCTGGCATAGTGTTTACTTAGTCAGGTACTGAGTGACTCTGAGTATTAATAAAATTACTCAAGGTAACTTGGTACCTAATTTAGTGGATACTGCATACAACGAATTCTTATTACTTCTTTTCTATGTAAGTTATTTTATGTTAATTGATTAGGTGCGCAGAGAGAGTGTACTATAATACAGTTTTATCGTCAATGAAGCTCTTGCCTTTTCTTTGGTAATACAGCTCTATGAGTTCACTCAATCATCATAAAGCTAGATTACCAAAGCATAGAGCATTGGCACAAACTTCTAGAATATGTGTAAGCAGCAAAGTTTTTTATATAGAACAGTATAGTTGTAAGAATTTAATAATTCTATGGAAAATCTTGACATTATATTTTCTATATAAAATATTGTTATGAAATATGATTTCAATAATTTATAGGTGATGAAGTAGATGCACGAAGTCGTTTGAATCAGATGTCTACAGAGGACGAAAGCTTAAGAAATGTCTGCTTGTCACAACCTGAATTCCCTCAAATGGATAGTAATAGTACAATACAATTCAATTTAGATGAACGTCCAGCATCATTTTCTCAACCTGCTCATGTGGAAGATCTTTTATTATGTACGCAATTACAAGCGTTAACACAGCCAAGTCAGGTATAATATGTTTGATTAAATAACATACTATATTATGTCTCACATAAATATTTCTTATAATTTTATGTTCTACTTGCAGCAAAATTCTTTCCAACGATTAGTCCGTCGAATGACCAGGTTCTTTGTTAAGATAGAATGCGAAGATATTGTAAAGAGACTAATAAGATATTGCGAGAAGGAGAATTACGTTTATCGCGTTAACGAATTTGGCATAGTAAGTAACGAAGATATACAGAAATATATTTATTATTTGTATAAATATCTAAATAGATTTATTATTAATTATATATATTTATATATATAGCTAACAATATCGACGATAGATCGGCGAAAAATGCCGCTCGTTTTTAAAGCAAATTTAATAGAAATGGATGGAAATGTATTGGTCGATTTCCGCTTATCTAAAGGATGTGGGCTGGAATTTAAAAGAGCGTTTATTAAAATCAGATGCGCAATGGAAGACGTTATTCTGAAGAGCTCTATGGCATATCTGAAGAATCAGTAGCAGTTACAGATGCATAATAGATACAAGATCATGTAATATTTCAAATATGTTTATAATCATTGTTTAATATTTTTTTTATATTTTTACAATAAAGAGTCAGAACTTTTTTATAAAACACAATTTTTAATATTTTTTTCTAAAAATTATATTTTTCCGTCATGTATCATATCGTCCATAGATCAGGATTCGGCATTTATCTGTATGTATAATCTGTGTCTACATAACAATGTAAATGATGTAACATGTCAACAAAGCAATTCCATAATTAATTATAGATTACATTAATGTAATCACTTTTTTGAAATTTCGATATTTAATTTATAAAGCTTTATATAATGTACATTGCAAAAAATCGATGTAATCATCATGTAAACAATTACAAACATTACGTAAACAATTTATATAAATGTAAATGGCTCCTGTTTTGAAATAACGTCAAAACAGGAGCCTGCTGTGCAATTTTACCACGATATTAGAAATTCGTCGTGATTCGTAAATTTGTAACGAGATGTCGTTAGTATCGCATTTCTATTAACGCAGTCTCGGTCATCAATTCGCAGAATAGAGACAGAATGAAGCGGCAGTAGTGTCACTGAGCGGCACTGCGGTTGCACAGTAGTGTTGGATTGCTCGGCGAACCGGTTAATCATCGAGTGGCGACGCGATCGCGCGGTTAGCCGGTGGTACACGCAGGTACTGGACGTAGATGCTCTGGAACTGTGACAAGTGTCAAATCGTAACCGAGTCGTCGAACGAGCGTCAGGATGGTGACGATAAACGCGGATCTGCGTCGTGAACGCGAGAGATGCAGCCTCGATCCCGTGGAGCTCACGCACTTCTGGGACGGCAATCCGGAGAAGACGTCACAGCGGCGAGAGCGAGGTGGGTCCCCGATTCCTTTAATTCACGCAAAAAATTACGCGTCCACGTTTCTGCTCACCATGGCATTCCCGCGTTTTTTATTCAATAAAATCCGGCGATCGCGGAGATCGTCCGGATGATATTAAAAAAAAAAAAAAAGAGAGATCATAATTCTGTATGTGTATGAAATATTGGAGCGCTGTTGACGCAAACGTCGCAAATTCTTATCAGAGTTCTATCCTTTCACTTCCTCTTATCCCTCTCCTCTTCGCTCGCTCGTTGCTCGATAAAAAATGTTGTGGACGTTAGACTTTATTTTCTTCTATTTGAGAGATTGAGTATTATTGTGAAGTCATTGTTAGTATTGTTAATCACCACGTCAATTTATTTTTCATTAATTTTATCGTGATTTCAATGGATTTCTCATTTAAATCTCGGATTAAAAATGATAAGATAAGTAAATAAAAGGGATAGAAAAAAGCGTGTACGTGATCTTGTAGCGTGATATATGACGACAATAGCAATCACTTGACACCGATAAAATATGAGTAGCGAGATCTTTAATGCAAATTGCATGAGAATCTGTGTCTATAAAGACACGCACCGGCTACATAAGGGAGAGAAAATATAACTGTAATTTTTTTATTCAATTCTCGCGCATCCGATTAAGACGAGGAATTAGGAAAAGAATATGAAATAGTGTCATTTTTTTCGATTTCCTACAATCGACTATATATATACGTATAGGAATTACGGTCTCTATTTTTATTCCATGAATTATTCTCTGTATAATATGCATATAATATCTGCATAATATACGTATAAAATTTTGACGTAATATATTACAAGTGTTTTCTAATCTATAATTTGATAAGCGAATTAATGAATTTGTTTAGAAAAATACTTGCTCACATGCATCATCAACAAGATTCTTGCTACTTAATTCCTTTTATTTTTATTCCGATATAATTGTTTCTTATTTTGCATAATTTCCCACGCATTGTCTTTTTACGTATATAAATAAGTTATACGATTCTTTATATTAATTTCAGTTAAAGAAAATAAATTCATCTATTTTTCTTCAACAGCTTTTAAGGTTTCAGGTATCTTATCGTATATAGGTAAATAAAATTATGAGGTAAAAAATACAAGTTTTTTGCGTAGTGTATTAAAATTAAATTTGATTCGTGACTTAAAAAGCGATAAATCTTAATCGATTATCATATATATATATATATATATGATCACGGAAAAAATTTTGCTATTACAGTTAAATTTTAGTTGTCCATATATATTACAACCTGAAAAATTATCATGTCTAAATTTTAGCTATGGTAATGAGTACTTTTTAGCTAGTTTAACGGAGAATTCTAAATAACTAAAAAATATTAGCTAAAATTTGACTTTAGTCGTTAATTTTTTTTCCATATAAGATTTACTTTGTACTATTGTAAATGTATAAAATATCATATGCAGATTGAATTATTTGCTAATAAGAATAGGAGAGAATGGAATTTTCGACTTATATTTTATCAATCCATACCATTGAACACAATAATAATGACACAAAAGAGACTGATTTAGTTCAATGTAGTCCTTCTTTTGTGAGAACAAAACTATTAATTATGATTTCTCGCTTGCAACGTCATAATTCAAGATAAAAAAAACAGTCAGATTATACACATTTTGCAACAATCGATGAACTTTGGTGACTTTTTGTCTTTGATATGCTATACATATTAGATTAATATTTTAGCTAATGTTCTAGATAAACAATTTAATTATGAAAATATCTTCAATTTATTATTCTTGAACTATATAGTTTTGACAATTAATTAACATGTTGTATACGTAATATGGAATTTCTTGTTGTATAAAATTAGTTATTATATGTTTTATAAACATATTTATATAATACTCATAAAATTTTTGTCAATGATTAATTATAAATTCTAATATATTGATATATGCAAATAAAATAAGATTCTTAAGTAAGAATTTAAATATATTTCTGTTGTTGATGACTTATAAATATTTGAATAATTGATCAAAATAATTGGATACGTCATATATTTTATAATGACACATAAAAGTGATTTTGCATTGATAAATTATCGCAATTATATCCATCTTTTATTTTATCCACCTTTTATTTTAATGTATGCATATAATATGTATTCTTTTAGATTTAAATTGCTAATCTTGTTGAAGATGTATCTTTAAAATGTGATTTGAAGATATATCTTTTATGTAATATTTTTATACAAATTGATAGGCATTACAAATATGCGGAATAATGTTTTTTGAACAAATAAGTTCAATGTCCAACGTAAAATTAGCTCAAGTGTCATTTATTGCGTAATTTGATTCGAAATTTATGATTATTTGTCAAATTTTACCGATTACTGCCAATCGTCATTATAACAATAATGACATAAATTGAGATATGTCAATGACTTGCAGAAAGACATTGTTAATCATAAAAGAAACAACTAACAATAAATTAAATCGATGCAAATTATTTTTCTTTCCTTGAATGTCCACATTGTTTTCAACGCTTTAACAAAAGAGCGAAACAAACTTTCTATATCGAAAAATACTATAATAATATCGAAAATATGCTAAATGTTCCATCCAAAAATTATCAATTAAAATATTTTTCAGTTAAAATTTAATTATCAATTTGACTAAAACATCACATGTGTGATGTATATAAATAATAACTCACTATAAATGTATATATATATTGATATAATTATAAATAAATATCTGTTTATAGAATAATTTTAATTTTAACATTTGAATTATTGCAACCAAATCGATAATATTTGCAATGCATACGTAGAATTAGCAATGTATTAATGTTGCTTGGTCGTAAAAACTGGTCACGCTTAGTCTATAATAAGATTCGTTCTCTTTTAAGTGTTTTAAGGAAAGCTATGTATTATACATTAGTAATTTACATTAATAATCTAATGCTAATGCATAATACAATAAGTAATTTAATCATATGCTTATTTATTTTGCTGCATAACTTTATATTGCTATCTCGTGCAGAATTTGTTCATATTAATATCCTAATGTGAGAAAATTCATCAAATCGATTTCGAGTCGTGTGATTCAAGTTAATTATTTTTGCAGAGAACTTCTTCCTAAGCGATCCGCTTCTACATGATAAAATTCCTGCGAAATATAAGAGTCACAAGGAAGTTTACGAGGAAGCGATAATGAAAGGATGCCGTGTAATAGAAAAAGTGCAGCAGTTAAACGAGTCGGGAAACGGCGGCATGGACGTTTTCTCGTAAGATACTTTTATGCGCATATTAAATATAATATATAGGTATAAAATTCTATTTTATTATTAAAAAAGAGAATAGCGTTAAATAAAACAGTACCATATTTTATGGGGAAAATATTCATTAAATAAATTATTTATTTACGGGAGAATATTTATTTAAATAAAGGAATCTGTGGCGTAGACAAATTTTAGGAGGCATGTTAGGCTCGGCGATATTAAAAGACGGTAATCCATTGACGCTGCACTACGTGATGTTTATACCGGCTATCATGGGACAAGGCACCGTCGAACAGCAAAGCTACTGGATATCCAGAGCTTGGAATTGCAATATTATCGGTACTTACGCACAGGTACGTTTCTGCAGTCACATGAATTATATCATCAAATGATACTAGAAGCCAAAGGAATCGTTAACAAATTTTTTCTTGTGAAAAATTAATCGGTTTTATTTTTTTCTTGTGAAAAATTAATTTTATCTTTATATGCTGCTATCGCGCTTTTGATTATATTGATTGGTAAATTATATAAAAAAATTTTTTTTATTATTTAATTTTTTATTATTATTTAATTTTTTATTATTATTTATAAACGCTTCTTGTCAATATCTCGTAGTAATCGATCAACGCTGACACATTATGAAATCATCAAGATATTTACTCGATACTGTCCAAGGTTGAATGATAGTGATCATAATCGTACGAAAAAAATTAATTTGCCTTAATATTCTTATGAAAAAATTTTACATAATTTCTCGTCTTTAAATAATTCAAGACTTTGGTTACAATGTTGAGTCGGAATATCTTAATCATATGACATTATAGTAGCTTTCAATAATTATATTTTTATATTTTTTAAAAATTGTGTCTAGAAAATGATATGATTCGTGTATTCTTAGACGGAGCTTGGTCATGGCACGTTTATCAGAGGCTTAGAGACCACAGCGACTTACGATCCCGAAACCAAAGAATTCATATTAAATAGCCCGAATCTGACATCGTACAAATGGTGGCCTGGTGGTTGTAAGTATTATTTTTCCTCGAATATATTAATATCCGCGAGAATTGCGCTTAAATAAATTGATAAAAGAAAAAATGTCTTCAGTGGGTCATACGGCGAATTATGCAATTGTCGTTGCGCAATTATATACAAAAGGAGAGTGTAGAGGTATCCATCCTTTTATCGTGCAACTCAGGGATGAGGATACCCACGAGCCTTTACGAGGTATGTATAAGTTTGCGCATAGATATTTTTTGCGATAAAAATTTTACATATTTTAACCTTTTTTTCTTTCTCTCCCTCTTTACTTAAAATGTATATAAAAAATTTTCTTTTGTTTTAGGTATAAAGATCGGTGAAATTGGTACCAAATTAGGAATGAACGCAACCAACAACGGCTTTCTCGGCTTCGACAATGTCAGAATACCACGCGATAACATGTTGATGAAAAACTCTCAGGTAATGGAGAAAGTAAAGCGTCATGAGCTCATTATTTAATAGAAAATCTAATGCAAAAATTTAACGATCTAATTTTCTCCGCATTTGTAGGTGCTCGAAGACGGAACCTATGTGAAAGCGCCTAGTGATAAACTCACATATGGCACAATGATGTTTGTTCGAGTGGTATTAGTACGTGATATCTCTAACTACTTATCGAAGGCGGTGACCATAGCTATCAGATACAGCGCAGTAAGACGACAGAGTCAAATAAAGCCTGAGTATGTAAAAAGTTTGTGTGACAAGAGACTTGATACATTTGAAAATGATTATTGAATAGAATATTAATTGCACTTTTTTTTATCTCTTTATTTTGTTTACAAATTCAAAGGCTAGTTACTAATTTATGTATCATTAGTAACGCACAAGTATTTGGAATATTGAGAATTAGTTTTAAATTAAATATAATCTTGTTTTTAACTTATTGTAATCAGGTAATATAATTTGAATTGTAAAAAGATCTTTAAATTTTCTATTTTCTAAAAGCTACGATGCATTTGCAATTTACATTTTATCAATTCATTAAAGTAACGTTTCGCAAAAAATTATATATTTACATACATTTTAATAAGTAATTTATATATTAAGTTTAATGAGTTATTTAATACTTATTTATATGTATAGTTAAATAAATAAGTATTTAAAATATAAAATAAATATTTGTATATTAAGTTAAAATTTTAGAATGCTTTTAAATTTATTTCAGTGAGCCAGAAGCACAGATCATAGATTATGTTACTCAACAATATAAATTGTTTCCCAATCTTGCTGCGTGTTTCGCGTTCCGAATGTGCGCCGATTGGATTTGGGAGATGTACAACAATGTAACAGCTGAGTTAGATCAGGGAGAGCTAGAAAGACTTCCTGAGGTGTGAAAGAATTTTTCTTATACACTATGAAAGAAATATAAATTAGATATGTATTGCATGAAAAAATAATTTAGTTTTGTATAGTAAAAATTAATGTAGAAATTAGATGTCTCTCTAGTATACTATTGAAAAGGGAAAATTGCTTTCAGTTGCACGCGTTAGCATGCTGTCTAAAAGCAGTCGCATCATCGGACGGAGCTACTGGTATCGAGCAATTACGATTGGCGTGTGGTGGACACGGTTATATGGATGCTAGCAACTTGCCGGGGATTTATGGTTTGGTGACCGCTGTCTGCACTTACGAAGGTGAAAATACGGTTCTACTACTACAAACGGCTAGATATTTAGTGAAAGCCTGGAGACAAGCTGTCGGCGGACAACTATTGCCACCGACCGTAGGATACTTGGCTGTTCTTTCGCGCGGAGTAAAGCAACGTCCTTGGAAAAACACTTTAACGTGTATCGTGCAAGCACATCAAGCAGTTGCGGCAAGGTATAGATATAAAAAAATATTTTATCGCTATATAAAACATTGCCCACAACGTTGGTAAATAAAAGTTTAACATAGTACACATCACAATTATTTTGTAGCAAAATTCGCTTGGCGACAGAAAATATGGATCGCAGAATACGTAGTGGCGCATCGGCGGAAGACGCGTGGAATCAAACCAGTATTGAGTTAGCACACTGCGCGGAATCTCACTGTCGAGCTTTCCTAGTGTTGAGATTCGTCGAGACCGTAAGAGGACTGACTAATCTGTCCAAGCAGCTTCACGAAGTTTTGATGCAACTTTGCGAATTGTACTCGATATATTGGGTTCTGCAACGAGTCGGAGACTTTTTGCGAGTCAGTATTATATACATATGTATATTATAAAATTAAGATTATCACCGTCATAATTTTGCTGAATAATGTTGAATGAATATTGTTTGGATAAACATGACAATGCATTTTGTAATTACAGTTTTCCTGTCTCAATAACGAAGACATCCCGGCGCTTCAAACGCGTTTCGAAGAGATGCTCGCCGCTATTCGTCCAAATGCTGTTAGTATCGTCGATGGTTTCGATATTCGTGACGAGATCCTCGCATCCGCGCTCGGCGCGTACGACGGAAACGTATATCAGCGTCTCTTTGACGAGGCGATGAAGAGTCCCTTGAATCAGGAGAGCGTGAACCAATCCTTTCAAAAGTATCTGAAGCCTTTTCTTAAAAGTAATTTATAGTCAAATATCGGGTGTTATCACAAAATAGTCAACAACAACCATTCCATCATAATAAATACGTTTTTTGTTTGGAAATACCTACAATTATTTTTAAATACTTGCCAGAATGACTTGCATCATTTTATATTCAGAATTACATATATTCCGATATCTGAAATTATACTTGTAAACACTGCAATAAGTTCGATAAGAAATTATCGCGTAACAATAATCTGGCTTTTTTTTACAAATCATTGTCGCACAATATATTATAGATTAGTATTACAAATATATATTCTATGAAATGATTTCATGTTAAAACGTTTGCCTTTTAAAATACGTTTTTATATGAATTTTATGCACTTAAGAAACGTTTAAAGCATTTGATGGCAATATATTTGTCTATTATATAATCGAGATAAATTGTTTCAATATCATATAAAGTGCTTTATACGTTTGTAATCTAATTATAAAAGATTAATATTTTTGATAGTAATATTTTATAAAAATTACACATTACATATAAATGAGGGCATATGTGCACAGTATTGTTTTTACGAATAGTAATTTATCCTGGGATGCATTAGTAAAAAGAAAGTCTGTAAATTTAACAGTTAAATGCCCAAGTATTTACAAATTTGCCTTTGCGATAGTCAAATATCGTGGGAATTGAATATGTATCTCGAAGGCGCCAATGCGATATATTGTATTTTAATATGCGAATAAAATTAAATAATCTTCCTCTCTGTTATAACTTGGCGTATGATTCAATGAATCCCTATAAAATCTACGAATCAAATGGAAGCGAGACGTTCGTATCTCGAAGAAATTTTCCAATACATTTCCTTAGACGGTACAGTATTTATTTACAGAATAGGAGCGACGACATACATTATTGTTTGTTATTATACTAATATAGTGCAATTATTAATTTCCGTTAATTAAGAATAACGTAATAAATGCTCGCAATAGCGATAACGCACATGTTCAATTTTTTATACTTTTTAAAAGCTACTCGTGTGTGTTGGTTTGTGTTGTAATCGTGCGATTACACAAATAGTAGACTTTCAATTTTGGAGCAAGGGAAACAAATGTGGGAACATCCGTTATTAAGAATATTTTGATGAAAAATTGAAACAAACGCTTTACCGCAATTGCGAGCGAGTATATATCTATATATATCTATATATTTATATATAAGTACATATACATGTATATACGTATTTTGTGGGTTCGTGCATAGACGGAGATATATACACATATATGTAGTATAGATCGGTATAGGGAACAATAGGAAAAGGACGAGGAACAGGAGGAGGAAGATGGCGGTTTTTGGGACCATGATACTTACACTTAAAAAATAACATTGTTAATATTATCATTATTATTAAATATTAATTATATATATTCACTTTTAAAATTATTTTCATTCGTCCATCTGGCCTATGGGCTTTTTTGTCTCTAGCGTTTAGACAGACTTCTCATTGCTATAATGATCTTACGGAGTTATGTTTTTCTTATAAAATATGATTTCATTACAATTAAATTTTTTTCCCGCCTTCGCTTAATCGCCTCTCGGACGTTAATTGGCCGCATGGTGAAACTAGCAAAAGCCGAGGCAGGGACACACCAAGCGGTCAATTAATTACTCTACCTAACGAACAATTTCATCTATATCATGTATGATTATTATTACAATAAAGATTACGAGCCCCAATTTCTAGGTCTTTCCTCGTTTATTTCGCACGGTACAAACGAAATAAAGGATTACCGAGAGGAAAAAGATGGCAAAGAAAGGAAAGAATATTACAGATTAAAGCGTGTTGCAAAACGTGATTTTTTCAGAAGAAGTTGAATATAGTAAATTGATGTAAAATATATTTAACAAAATGATATAATAAGAAAGAGTAGCGATTTATAACAAAGCTATGAAAAAATCTGCCGAAAGAATATAGGAATATTTCTTTGATCGTAATCAACATTAGATCTCTAATTATCGTTAATCTTATCGTTAATTCTTATTGATTCCTATGTATCAAATTTAGATGCACTACAAAAACAGACATGATATAAAAAACTTATATAAATCCATAAAATTTTTGTAAAATTTATTCCTCTATAAAGATGCGCAAAGAAAGTTTTGAAAGAAAGAAACACGAAATAATTTAAACGAATCCTTACTTTACATGTATATAATTAGTATAAATTTTTAATCGATTAAAAATATAAATAAATAAAATTGTCACACACATGATACGACGAAGAGAAATCATGCATTTGTTAAAATTGTGTGACATATATGTTCAACAATGATAAATTATCGTGGAAACGCGACAAGTTTGCCGTGGATGAGAGGAGAATCGCATTATTCTCGGTAATAAAATAAATAAGGCGTTTAGTAGACTCTATACACTTTTTATCATATCAGCACATTCGTGCGTAAGAAGCGTTGAATCAGCCGAAGAGAAACAAAAGGATTAAAAACCCTTGCAGGATGACGGAGGAAGCGATTACCATGCAGGATAAGAGTAATGTGCCGTGAAGTGAGGATGCAACGTGATAATAAGGCGGATCCGTGAGAGTTTCGTACCAAATCGCTGTTCCTTACGTAGTATATGGCAGTATCGGCATGATATACTTTTATTACTTCCAACGCGTCCAATCTTCCGCAACGGAGTTGGATTCTGCGAAAGGACGACGCTCATATTGTTACGAGAAGAGATTCAAGGATGTAGGATATTGTAGAAAAATTCAGAGAGTGAGAGAGAGAGAAGCAGAAAAAGATAAATGAACGATAGAAAAAGAGGCAAGAAAGAGATTAAGAAATATAGCAAAATAAAAATAGAAAGAGAGAAAGAAAGCGTTAATAAACAGATGGACCGCGTAACGAATGTAGTTGAGAAAGAAATTCGGATATAGATTTGTATCGCTCTTCGCATGTTCCCTTTCGCTTTCTAACGTGACATTATGGCATCATTTTTAGTCGTACTAAGGCGTGCGCACTATCATGCTGCTCCTGGGGCAGAAGAAATCACGTGTCGCGCGTGATTGTGCCTCTCGATCGCAGCATCCATCTTATATGGCAATGTCATTTCTCGTCGTTGGAATAGTTTTGACGACGAGAACGATCAAGACGGACGTATCGAGGATTTATTAGCATTGGAACTGCCCTTTGATAATAAAAACGAATGTTTTATCTTATAGGTGGAAGGAGGGTGTGACGTCCCATTCAACATAATTAGCTGTACTGTACGAACTACTTTCATTCATCAAATGTTTCAAAGCATTGGATGCATTAGATGCACTGAACAAAAGAAATGAAAAACTTTCGGTCTTTACTTACTTAAAGTAAAAGGACTTTTTTACATATTTATCTCGGCAGGAAATTGGGAATATCGATCACGGAATTGGAGATGCACGCACGCAAGCACGCATGTTTTAAAAATATGGCACGCTAACTGAGAATTCATTTTATTTGCTAAACGCTTGGAGATTCATACACAATACAAGAATTTTAATAAAACTTATTAAATGCTTGGCGAATACGTGAAAAAACATTACAATTACTGTGAGGAGATTTCAGTATTTATACATGATTCACGAATATTAAATATTAAACGAGATAAATAATATTAAAATGAGATTTCCAAATAATAAGTTTTATCGAATAATAATTCGAAGTGAGTAAATTTATGTATACACGAGTTCAATTATTATCAGCAAATCCTATTTGTGAAAACTCGAGATATATATATATATATATATATATATATATATATATATATATCTTACGCCAAAAGTCGTGCAAACAGTTGTCAACAAATGAATATTAAAATCAGTAGAAAAAAATAGAAAGATAGAATTATCTTAAAATACACAAACTTGATCTTCTTATCTTTCGATATACTACGAGGATACAACGAAATGACATTGAGAGAAGAAGTTACGCGGCGAAAATACGTATAAAATCTTACATATGTTTTAGAAATAATCGTTATTCCGTAATGAGATATGTACAGTGCCGGTGACCGACCGACTGACCGGACATAAATCCTCTATCATTAAGCAAACTTGCGCAACTTATATAATTTTTAGAAACGTGTGTGTATGTGTGTGTGCATCGTGACTAAACACATTTTGTTTTCCTCTTAGAAACTTAGATAGTGGTCGGTCGCGCTACGATTAATGCGTAACACGTATACTTAATAATAGGGCGCCCTTTTTATTCCCTCCGCAATTGATCGATCGAATCCCGCCGTTTTCGCCTCTATTGAGATGCGAACGCGTTTCACCGAAACATATAAATTTTCGTCGAACTCGCCATTAAACGCTCAGTATCTAAAAACTGGATACCGTAAATTTAAAAAAAAAAAAAAAGAAAAGAAAGAAGGAACAAGCAACAGCAGCGACGCGGACGAGGTTGCAGCTTAACTCCTCGCCGCTCTTGCTGTCGGAGAGAAATCACGGTGCCGCAACGATCCTTCTTCCCTTCCCTCCTTCCACCGAGACAGAATGATTAACGACATAGCAACGGCGTTTATCGCCCACGAATTTTCACGCTCTCCGTCCTGTACACATGTATATACGTATACCTATACGTGTGCATATATATGTACAATATATATGTATATATACTATATATATTGTATAGATATATATACACACGCGCTCTAAATACGCTTGTAAATGCATCTTGGAATTGGTGCAACCTCGCCGACGATGTCTCTCGACAGGATATACAATACATATACGCGAGTCCTAGTCTCGTCGTTCACTGTCCATCGCTTTCAGTCACCAGCCGGGATGATTGCCCTTCGAAAAGAACTTCGGAGAGGTGCGGTAGCGAGTGCAGTTATAAAATTAAGATACAACGAAAAGAAAGGTACTCTGTACAGAGCGCTACAAAGGGCGAATCGGAGCTGAAAAATTTCGGCGTTCGAGTGAATAGTCCGTCGGCCGAGAGAAAGAGAGAAAGAGAGAGCCGCGAATTCGTCTTGCCTCAGACTCTCTTACTCGCGTGCGCCCGTTTCCTTCGACGCGATGAAATACAGCGCGTAAGAAAATACAGTCTCCGAGAGTCAAGAAGTTTCGGGCGGTCGAGAAGCGTACTCGCGAACGTCGTCGTCATCGTCGTCGGCGTCGTCGCGAGTCTAAAAGTCAGAAGGGAAGGCTCCGGAGGGAGAATCGTGAAAAATTGCCTTCCGAATAGAAGGAGAACGCAGAAGGATATATAGGGACAGATATAAGGCAGAGCAGATAGGGATATGTTGTAACGGGTGAGCTACAGTTAATAAGAGCAAGCGAATATCGGTAGGTGCCGAGGGAGAATCCGCGAGAATCGGCCGACGTTCCGCGAGCGACGTTCCTCGATAAAGTCCCGGCGTTGCGGGAGTGTCCATGGACGTGCCATGCGGTTCGCCGAAGTAATCCTTCTCTTTTTTGTTTATCACTATCGACCAGCGGGATTCCGATTGCGGGCGTTGTCGATCGTCGGTGGTCCTTACTCGGCTTGGCATCGTGAGATCGCGAGAGGAATCGGCGAGGTCGTCATCATTACGCCGCCGTCGCCTCAAGCGTAGAACTCCCGATTGTGGTGAGGCGCGCCCGGCTTGGGGAAGGCTTGCGCCGCGGGCGATCTCCTCGGCTCGTCCAGGGCGTACGAACCCTCGTCCTTCTTGCGCATCCGGTACACGATGAACATGACCACCAGTATCGCGCAGAGGAGGCCCACTACCGCGCCGCCAATCACAGCTGGAAACATTATCGAGATTGCTTAGATTTATATGTACTATTTGATTATATATTAAAAAGAATTATATTTTTAAAAAATAATATATAAAATTTATTTAAACTCGATTAATACTTTTTTGAACAGAAATCAGCTGATTAAAGCGTTTAATTTACTAATTAAATTTTAAAATAAAAATATGTATGTCATAGAAATTAAAAATAATATGTTATAATACTTTAAACTCGAATAATATTCTTTGACAGAAATCAGCTGATAACTGTCAAAAATATTAATCGAATTCAAAGTATTTTGATATATTATTTAAAATTAATTATTTTAATTTTATAACATATTGTATAAAAATGTAATTAATAAATGAACGCTTTAATCAGCTAATATCTGTTAAAATAATATTAATAAAGTATTATAACACAGATTTATTTAAAATATATTATTAAAATTTTTATAAAATATAATTATTTTAAAATTTAATTAACATTTTAATTAACTGATTTCTGTCAAAAGATATTAATAAAGCGTTAATTTGCTAATTAAATTTTAAACTAATAATATGTTAAAAATATTAAAATAATAATGTGTTGTAAACAACATGTTATAATGCTTTATGCACGATTAATATTTTTTGACAGAAATCAGCTGATAATTGTCAAAAATATTAATCGAGTTTAAAGGTATTATAATATATTATTTAAAACAATTATTTTTTCTCGCGAGAAATAATTATCGTTTAAAACTATTTGCATTAAGAGATCGATATTTTTTTATGTAAAAAATTTAAAAAAATGGTCATTTGTACACTTACCGGCTAGGACGCCTGGCTGCGCGAAGAACGAGCTGGCGCGGTCCTCGTGTTTCGGATTCATTATGTAGACCTCGTGGATCTCGTCGGTGTTGTCGGCGTGATCGTCTTCCGTGCCCGAGGGTTCGATTGCGTCGACCTCGTTGCCGGGTCGGTTTACCGCGTCGATAGTCGTCTGGAAATTGGATATGGATCTCTTCAATCACCTTAGTCTGTTTAATTCGCAACTGCGTGCGGGAAAAGAAGCGCAGAGTTCCGCGTGTGTCATCGAACAAAAATGTAGTAGTAATCCGTTTCCGTGAGAGCGTGAGGTGTCGTCGCGTCGGCACTTTAATCGGGCAAATTAGATTGCACGCTCGTGCAGGAAATGCGAAGCGTAATAACGTAAAACACATCGCAAAGGTACATGATGTACTAGCGCACGGTAATTTATAAAATAAAAAAAAATGCAATTACAGTTTTATATAATCTATACCCTTTCTCTTTCTCTCTTTCGTGAGGAGAAAATAGATTAACGCGATCTCTAGCGATTTGTGGAGAGTATATTCGCAACGAAAAACGTAATTTTTAATTTTGTAAATTTATTGAAATAGAAAATGTAAAAGCGGGAGATGCTTTGAGAGTAAATTCTGCTTTGCCAAGGTAAAAGATCGGTGTTTCAATGAACTTTTGGAAGATATTACCTGTTGTTTAGTTTTGGCGTTTGTCTCATCGATGAAGTACGGAGGTCTCGCCTCGGTCGGCTTGCTCGGAATTTCTAATCCATTATTACCGTTAAATTCTGCAACACACACGTAACAAAGTTACAATACGGACACAGATTAGGAATTTGCATCATTGGATAGATACGAATTTGGGCGGCGCAATTCCCAAGATTCGAAATTGTTTTTTTTCGACTGGCGGGGATTTGCAAAAGCTGCAGGTGGAATTTCCAATCACCGTGAACGAGAAACGATCTACATAGAGGTGAATACCGTATATTTTTCAATTTTTCGAAAAAAATCCACCGCCTTTGTGGCCACCGCGTGACAGTTTATCGATGCATTTAATTTACCGATTGACATTTCTTTTTTTTTTTATCAAGAGTCGAGAAAAAAAATTAACCAGTAATAAAACAAAATGTCTATACCTTTTGCCTCGTGAAACAATCAATTGCTTGGACACCTTTTGCGATCGCTATCTATCTATACACAGAGATTATCGTTCATCGTACCATGATCGTCGTCCCCGTCCTCGTCGTCAGGGCCAAGGCCACTGCCCGAAGCCTCGAGGTCGTCGCGATTATCGCTGCCACCTCGACCGGAGCCTTCTAAGGCGTCCTGGTCATCCAAGTACAGGTCGTCCGGGAAAGTGTTGTAAGTCGAGCTCGCCGACTGACTTCTCTGCTTGGTGTCGGTCTGTTCCTTCTGAAAATCGAGAGGAATTTCAATGAGATTAAATCCGTACACATCTCTCTCTGTCAATTAATATTGAACCTTGCGGGAGGATCGTCTGGGACACGTCTCTCCCAGGTCACCGACACGTGGGACGCTACACGGGATCCTTTCCTAAGCGAAGCTTGAGACTTGGTGTCGCGCAGAAACGCGACGAAGCTTCGAGCTAACGTAATTAAAGGCACGTGCATATCCTTGCGCGTCCTCCTTGACGCGGGGTCTCTGTGACATGAAAGGACTCCAGGGTTCCACGGTTCATTAAATTTTAATTTAACTCCACCGCGAGGTAAGAGCCCGATCCCGTTTCGCTCTCTTCCTCCCTGTCTCTTGTGGTAACTGCTACTACCACGAACGAAGTGCGTTGGATTTGCAATCCAACATCTTCGTCGAGCACACAAATATCGCAAATTCCAGGTTCAACGGAAGTCAAGAGTAACAAAAAAAAATGTAAACTCTGGCAGAGAGAAAGCTAGAGAAAGGAGATTCCTTCTCTTCTGCGTAAAGGATCCGTGTGGGTGGCTCGCGAGTTCACGTTGCTCCGTTCTATTTCCAGCGCGGTTTCGTCTTCTTTCCGTTGCTTAGGTACGAAAATAGAAAATCGCTCCCTTTGTATCTCCTTCTCGCTTCGTTCGTTTCTCTCATCGTAGCGCGTCTTTGCGCTAATTGTACGCGGACAAATCGCTATATAACTCGACGATGATATTCGCCGCTCTTTAATTGCTTCGGCCGCAATAATTATCCCATTCGCGGAACGACCGATAAAGCTGCATCGTCGTTAAATTGAGCATAACTCATCATCGTTAAACAATTGTTCTGTCTTTCTCTCATATACAGTTTCCTATAACGGGCAACAAAGACTAAGGGTATAGAGCTGGCAGATGATTGAGGAGGAAACGACGGAATGACCCGCGCTTCCGGTTACGCGATGTCCGCGGAATGCGAAGTAATACGCCGCGAGAAGTGCATGGAACGCGTGATCGACGAGGAAGCGAGATTGCACAAACGCCAATACTCCGGTCCTCTATACGTATTGTCTCTAGGAAAATTTCATTTTCTCGGAACGATCGTGCGAGTTTTCCGCCTCGCTCTCGCTCTTTCAGAATTCCACAGAAATATATTACTTTATAAAAACAATATCTTCTTCCTTTCTCACGTAACATAGAATGTGCTCAAACGCGTAATGTACATTCCATCTACCTTTAAAGTTTCTAACATTATACGTTTTTATGTCGTATGATGATTGATGTAGGTATTTCTACGCTGATCATATTTTCCAAGAGAAAATAGAGGACAAATTTGAAAATTTTATAGGGTATTTTGTTCCAACATGTTTCCAAATCAGAGAGCGACAAAAAAAATGAACAAACTCTTGGTTTCTTAAATACACAGAGAGAATTTTCTTGGAATTTTTTTTAGAATTTACCCTGAAAATCATGGTAACCGTGAGAAAATATGATATTGGAAGAATTTTATAATTTTTACAATATTTACCACAATACAATATAAAATATGTTCGATTGATTGAACTATATTTGTATATTTATTAATATTTTTTATCGTGATAACTATTAATCAGAGAAACTCATAAAATTTTTCCAAAACCATATGGTCCCACGATTATTATCCCATGATTTTCAGGGTAAATTTTAAAAGGAAATTCTCTCCGTGTAGATTCCAGATAAGAGTAGACAATGAAACGCTAAATAAAAGATCTGAATGAATAATAAATGAATAAATCTAATAGACAGCTACTCGAAATAAATGACTGATGATAGGTCCTTTAAAATAATAAAGAACGGATGATAGATATATCACAGGGTTCCACGTGGATCACGAGATGCGAGCGGATGGGAAAAAAACCAGGTATTTATTTTTGCAATATAATAGCCTACAAAAATTGATGAAAGTAATATAGAGATAATAATGAAAATAAAAAAAAAAAAAAAAAAAAAAAAAAGATATACTTCTCGTCACGACCTTCGCGTGAATAGCCGCGATTGAATGGGTCGTTATTAACGAATGCGTCTCGCGCGATCGATCTCGAGCGGAAAATTCGCTCTCTCTCTCGCGGATTGTATATCTCGCCGCGCGCTCGTCCACCGAAACAGCGATTTCCTCCCTTTCGCTTTTGCACCGGAGGACAATGAATGCCCGATGAGCGTCGAAAACGACGCACACACCTCGTCAAACGCGTCGCGCGCGCGAGCGCGTATTTCCGCTCCACCATATATGTACGCACGATACAACGACCGATGTTCTACGTACATATGGTACGGTGACAGGAGCCGGCGTATATTCGATACGTCGAAATTCGAACGTGTGTGTGTGTGTGTGTGCGACACGTCACCGAAGAGAGGAAATAACCAAATTACGTGACTCTAAACGCTGACAACTGACGAATCGGCGAATTGTCTCGAACAGGGATCGACCGGAAATATATGTATTTCAGATCAGAGATTTTATTCAATCGCACTTTCTCTCTCTCTCTCTCTCTCTACACACGTGCGTTTTTACTTGTATGTACTTTCTTCTTTCTATCTCGAAATGAAACGAACGGATTACCCGGGATTGGCATTGGAGAGGAGGAAATAAAGATGAAAAGAAAATTACGGAAAATGCGGATGAAAAGAACGGACTTTGCCATTAATTGAACTTGTATACCTTCTCGATCTTGTGCGGCTCTTTTCGACGTCGAGATTTTATCTTTTTAATGATTTTTATTTTCTATATTGTCTGTCTTAAATCGACTCTATATCTTCGACATGTGCGATTTTTGAACGTCCACTTTGGCGTCGATTGTTTGGAGAAAAATGACAGGGAATAGAAGGGACTCGCATCAGCAATCACACTCCCCGCACATAATTAAACACAATAATCGCGACAATTTCCGAGAGAAATGCGTTGATCGAGCGGATGGAGAGACAACTAGGTATACAGAGTCTCGGCTGTAAACAACTAACGCACCGACGTCGACGAGGGAGAAAGGAACTTTCCTTATTCGGAAGAAATACGTCGTGTACTGGGACAGCTCCCGAACGAGTGCGTCGTCCTGGTTACATCCGCCAATCGATATCGAGAAAATTCAGCCCAGCCCGACGAGGGCAAACCCATAGTCGGCGACGAAAAGGCTCGACCTTGGATGATTCGCGACCTCTCGGAGACCCTTTCGAGAATTTACGCGCGACGCGTGTGCATCTCACCTCGATCCGTCTCGCGGGTGAAACACTCGGGGATTTTTCCCCCTTTTTTTCCACCCCGTTCCGTCTTCCTTGCCCCCGATTACGCGACAAGCGAGGAAGACAAGGCAAGAATTGCGCGGGCGCGCGATGTTATCGACCTCCATGCGTGCTTCGTCCTGTCCATCGCCGAGGTCATGGTTTCCCGTGTCTGGTCGAGGAAAATAAAAGAAGGAACGCGTCTTCACGCACCTGCGAAGTCGAATTCCTCGGGGTCGCCCGGGGGTTGTTTCCAACGCGAAAAGGGTGGCGACCGTGGGAGGTCACGCAGGAGAGGGTGACTTTTCTTCGTGAGAATTTTCGTGGCCGTCGAGCGAAATGTGCGAACCTATCCGCGATGCTACCTTCCGTACTTACGCGTCGAGTCGCTCGGACCCGGGTGACAGCTGGAGAAGAGACGCGTGAGCTCCGGCGGCGAAAAACGAGAAAATTCGGAGGGTGATGTGCGGCGGTTTTAGGCCAGGTGGTGACTGCTCCGGGGTAGTACGAGTTCGACCCGGCAGACGGCACTGCTCGCGAACTGTATATATATGTGTATACAGCTCCCTGCGGTTGTATATACATCTACGCTATAGGGGATGTTTTTTACAGCTGGGGTGAGATCCGGATGTTTTTTCTTGTTTTTTCATTGGATTACTTCTCGAAGGAAATCTATCTCGCGATTGCTAAAAATATATCCTAATAGCACAACATATTCGGAGGATGTTCAGAGGACATCCTCAGGATGTTCTCCGAACGTCTTCGGGATGTATATATATATATATATATATATATATATATACTTATATTTATTTATAAATGTATACATCTACGCTATAGGGGATGTTTTTTACAGCTGGGGTGAGATCCGATGTTTTTTCTTTTTTTCTTGGTTTTTAATTGGAATCTGATTACTTCTCGAAGGAAATCTATCTCGCGATTACTAAAAATATATCCTAATAGCACAACATATTCGGAGAATATTCAGAGGACATCCTCAGGAGGATGTTCTCCGAACATCTTCGGGATGTGTTCGCTGTTAGGGATATATATATATATATATATTTATATTTATTTATAAATGTATACATCTACGCTATAGGGGATGTTTTTTACAGCTGGGGTGAGATCCAATGTTTTTTCTTTTTTTCTTGTTTTTTCATTGGAATCTGATTACTTCTCGAAGGAAATCTATCTCGCGATTACTAAAAATATATCCTAATAGCACAACATATTCGGAGGATGTTCAGAGGACATCCTCAGGATGTTCTCCGAACGTCTTCGGGATGTGTTCGCTGTTAGGGATATATATATATATATATATATATATATATATACTTATATTTATTTATAATGTATACATCTACGCTATAGGGGATGTTTTTTACAGCTGGGGTGAGATCCGATGTTTTTTCTTTTTTTCTTGTTTTTTCATTAGAATCTGATTACTTCTCGAAGGAAATCTATCTCGCGATTACTAAAAATATATCCTAACATATAGGAATAATATATAGGAAAAATAGCACAACATATTCGAAGGATATTCAGAGGACATCCTCAGGAGGATGTTCTCCGAACATCTTCGGGATGTGTTCGCTGTTAGGAATATATTTATATATATACTTATATTTATTTATAAATGTATACGTCAGAAATTTTTTAGATAAAAGATGCAGATGTAGGGAATCGCGTTGCGCATCGTCTCTTTCTTCCTGGTTTACACGAGGCAGACGCGATAAATCCGTCAAAAGCTTCGCT